ACGCATAGGCCCACCGTGCCACTGTGAAACAATGTCACCCAAAGAACAAAAATGTGAACTGGAACGACCAATATATTTTCAGAAGAAAAAACATAATAGAAAACCAGAAACTGACCATTCACTTTCATGCCTTGTGAGTTAAAAGTGATATATGTATATACAATACATACTTATACAGACATCAGCTTTAAATCATACGTGAAATCAAACTAACGTTGTAATTAAGATAATTAATAAACCACGTATAATTAATAAAAATAGCAAAGGAAGAGCGTTAATTATGCTTGTTAGTATCCATGTGCCGAAGTAGTGATGCGAAAAAAGAACAAAGTTCCCTTTTCTATAACTTTAACATAACGGAAAGTAAACTTTCCAAAAAGTGCTGAGTCATCTTTTTTTGGAAATGGAATAAACTCCCCTATTTTGTTGGGCGAAGGTTTTTTGATGGAACTTCTAAAGTGTGAGGCCTTATAATTGTCATTCACCCTTTTATGCTATTCAGAATTAAAAATTTCAGACTTTTGTCCCAATTTACTACAACTACATACCGTATTATACACCTTGTGACCTTTGACCTTGGCCTGACCTTGACCCAAGCCGCCAAAATCGGGCACCCTCCTCTAGAATGACATCTTGGAACCTATACAGTAAGTGTACCAAATTTGGCGCTTTAATCCGGCGGGTCACGATGTTTTCCTTAAGCGACTGGACTATAGGTGACAGCTTTAAAAAAGGCGGTTGTGATAAATGAGGGTTTGAAAGGGGAGGGGTTTTAAAAGGTTACAAATACAAAGCATTGTGACTCCCAGCATGCATCAGGTCACCAGGTTTTACGGGAAATTCACGTAGCACGTTCTTTCTTGTGACGGTTCGAAGCAATAACCGTAATAACCCGTAAAAATGACGGGAAATGGACAGCGTTTTTACGGGTTTGTTTACAGTGTAATTAACAAAGGGCTACAACGTCGGGTTAAGACATCAACAAATGCCCCTAAAACCGTGCATAAAATGAATAATTAATATTGAGAAAAACTAATTAGGGTAACACTAAAATCATGCACTCATTTCGCCTGAATAAATTTGAAAAGTTACAAAACCCCACTAACCTCCATCTTAGACAATATAACATTTACAATTACCAAAATCAATTATCAAAATAATACCAATTGCGTATTTACATGCAAAAACATTACAATAAATCATACTCAAAGCTTTGGGTATTGAATAGTCTTGCTATGAAGGGAAATGGCAATATTATTACCAATGGCTAATTCAAGTAAAGTTTCGACTGGTGTAATTTGCAGAAATTATTATTAAAACATTCAATTCAGAGTAGATTAGGGCCATTCCGGCAATTCCGGTGAAAATACGTCAAGTTCTGTCGTAAATTGACTTCAATGTATTGTCAAAGTGGCAGATGACGTTTTGTTTAAGTGGTGATAGTAAATGATGATTGTTTACTATAGGTTTTCCCGGCCAACTTCATCAAGACTTAATCAATTTAACGCCTGGCTCATTCACTTTCACAGAATAGATTGAAATTGAAAGATCACGCAGATCGTCATTCGACAATCAAAAGGAATCGTTCAATTTCACTATCTGAGAAATCTATCGCCTTTTAGCTTCACTCGTCCCTGTAAAAGATGCATTCATATTAAAAGTATCGTGTTGTTCATTCAAATTCGTCTGAACCAGTAGTAAGGGGTTGATCGGGCCTTTCCTTTCATTAAAGGGCAAACATTTTTCACATTTTGTCAAGCATGTTTAGGACTTCCTGCATGTAAAATTCTGAATTATCTCGGCCCGTAAATCACATCTGATGTCTTCAATCCGTAAATGCACACCTCTCTTTCTTAATTAAAGGGTCCGGGCAATTATTTTTTTCTCAGGAATACATTGTGTGCAACTTTCTACTACCCTGACATGTAAGAAAACTACACATTTGTCATCCTTTTTTGGTTTATCTTTTAGCTTCACTCGTCCCTGTAAAAGATGCATTCATATTAAAAGTATCGTGTTGTTCATTCAAATTCGTCTGAACCAGTAGTAAGGGGTTGATCGGGCCTTTCCTTTCATTAAAGGGCAAACATTTTTCACATTTTGTCAAGCATGTTTAAGACATTTAAAAGTTTCCATGCTTTTCCGGACTACTGAGGGCGCTGTTGCTTTGATGTGATTTCAGGAAGATATATACTGTTCGGTACTCACTCAAAATTTGCTAATTGAAAACATTTGTGAGAAAGGATTGCTCAATACAAACATGTACTGACACAACAAAGAATCACCTAAGTAACAACATTTATGACAGTAAAATATCAACAAATCTAGCAACTTTTTCTGCTGAAACAGCCACGTAACATCCCGGAAGGACATCAAAGTTTTGCTCATGAATATGGAACTTTGCATTAGCATAAAACGGAGAAGGCACCAAATACACCCTTCAAAATAGAAACATATATGCAACATGAAAATAAGGTTAAATGTGACACAAAGATGTATTTTTAGGTTTGCATTGAATAATTACTTTGCATGGGCACCTCAAATAAGTGTTTGGTCAGACATACGCAAGAATCAGAAATTACCCTAGAGAAGTGTTCCCGATGGTACAACCATTGCTAAACATACATGCCCCGATGTCTTGCGCGTCAAGAAATCGTCAATGTAAAGAAGCCCCTTATTTTAACGTTTAAACAAGACTAGTAGAAAATATCAACAGTGAAAAAGAAAATATTTTAGTCCTTTTCATTTCATTATTTTGGTACATCTTGTATCCATCATATCAGTTAATTTGTTACACTGTGAATTTTACAGTCACCGAGATTTTTTTTGGGAAAATTAACCTCAGAGGAAAATAGGAAAATATAGGTTTTCTCGGTCAATTGCAGCAAATGAGCAGCCAATTTAACCACTACGCTATTCTATTTCGCGTGAAATCAAATGCTACTGAAAAGGGTCATTCGATTTCGTTTTATGACCAGTCAAATGTACTGTTGCGTCATTCGATTTAACAAAATAATCATGCAATTTAACAACTCAACAAAAGCAGCATTCAAATTCGCAGGAGCTTTTTGCGGCGTGCGTTTAATCATTCAAATTCATTTTTGGGCAGTCATTTCTGGAATTTGTGCAATCTAAAAAACGCTTTTTTAAATTTGTGTTTCCTTAAGAATGTTGAAGGCATAAATACTGTTCACTTTTTGGCACTTGAGTCACTTTGCCGATGTACTTCAAAGACGAGCTTTCGCTACAGTTTTACACGCATATTTCTAGAAATGGCAGCTCGTGGTCGCTACGCTAGAGTGGCCCAGGTAGATCGAGAAAGGTTGATTGAGGCCTTCGAGGGAAACGAGCAAGACTACCTTGAGCTTGCAGTCAATTTGAACATCAACAAGTCCACAGCCAGATCAATTGTTGCAACATATTTGAGGACTGGAAGGCGAGAGACGCTGGCATGAGGAGGAGCAACCCACAGCAAGATGGATGATGACATGCGAAACCATCTGCAAGGCATCCTTGACGCTAATCCCGTCTTGACACTTCAACAAATGAAGGCTAGTTTGAGTGAGCATCTGCCAGAGAAGCCCCAGGTTTCTACTGCCACCATAGCCAGGGCCTTGGATGGGATGATGATTACACTGAAACTAGTGGAGGACGTCCCTGATGCAAGAAATTCCCCTGAAGTTCTTGATCAACGCGTCCAGTATGGTGAGTGGTTCCTGCAGCATGGTGTTCTGGCGCATCTAGTCTTCATTGACGAGACAGGTTATAACGTCTGGACTCCACGCTCCCAGGGTAGAGCTCCACGAACGATCGCTGCAAGACGAGTCGTCGACAGACAACGAGGGAGAAATTGCAATGTCACCTTCGCTGTTTCTAGTAAAGTAGGCTTGGTGCACCACCGAATCGCATTCGAAACTGTGACGCGAGAGATATCGAGGAGTTTCTTGCGGACACAATTCAAGAGTGTGATGCAGTTTTCCCAGACGACGAACCCATTTACCTCATATACGACAATGCGAGGCCTCACGTGCGAGCCCAACTCCCTGAAGGTGCCAACCCAATGATCCAGCTGAAGCGCCTCCCTCCCTACTCCCCATTCCTGAACAGCACGGAGATGGCACACTTTGCATTCAAGGCTGCAGTTAAACGCATCCTTGGGTTACCTGAGTGGCAACAACGTGTCGGAGACAGACAGGCTGCCCAGCAAGCAGGAATGAACATGCAGCAGTGGAGGTGCGATCTCCTTCAACAAGCAGCCATCCAGAGCGTTGATGTCATCACCCAAGTGAAGTGCATGCAGTGGTACAATCATACCCAAACATATATGCCAAGATGTCTGGCACGCCAACAGATTGATGGTTGAGGAAGAAATAACATAAACAATAAAAAAACCAGGAAAAACATAAAGAAACACCCCTTTCAAACACAATACAAAATTAGGTCTTGGTCAGTTAACCAATAAAGATCCCCCCCCCAAAAAAAAATGAAGAAGAAAACAAAAGAAAAAGAAAAAACCTCATTGGCCCCATGTAAAGTCTACTGGAAGCATAAATAAAGAAAACAAGGTTTGCCTGAATTAAAGTGAAGATACGAAACAGTTGCCTAGTACAGTTTATCTGTTTATTCGTATTTCTTTAGTCGTACTTATTTGAATTCTCTTTAAGCGAAATTGATTGCCTCTTTACGAAATTGAAAAAAATTAAATCAGTAAAATCTCCAGTCGAACCAGCTTTGCTAAATTGAATGATGATTGTGTGTCACGAAAAAGAATGACGATATGCTAAATTGAACACAGTGCTAAAGGAATTTGAATGCCTCAAAACGAAATTGAATGGCCGAATTCTGAATTTGAAACGCAGTAACAACTGGAGAGGCAAAATAGCTTCAATTCGAACGCACGAAAATTAAATTGGCTGCTCATTTGCCGAAATTGACCGAGAAAACCTATATATCAATTAAAAAGTGTTATTAATTTGAATGACCAAACGATGAAAGTGATTGCCAATAAAGGAATAAGAAACGAAAATCATGGTAATACGTTAAGAGCGCACCGACGTTCGCTAATTTGAATGCGTCAACCGTCAAAAGGTTGCAAAGACTTAATGTAAGAATGCTACAAAGTTAGTCTTGAATGCAACTAAACGAAATAGAATGTCCCAAAACGCAAGATCTTGGCTGCCTAAAAATGAAATTGAATGCCCCCAAAATAAAAAATGAAACCCCAATTTTATCACGTGCAAAAGTCAAGCGAAATTGAATGGCTGATAATGAAAACGATTAGAAAAATTCAGAAATTTACCGGAAAACCTATATAATTATTAATAATTCTTCAATGGACGGATTCATATCAACCCCTTTATTCTCCACCAACATACCTCATATTTATATATATTTAAGCAATTTTCAGTCTGGACAAAACACACTTCTGCTCTGTTTACGTGTTATTTTTGACAAATTACAAGTTTCAGAAAATTCCCCATTTTATAGTTTAAAGAATGATTCACGAAATGCATTGTTGTTTACGTTGACCTTATTCTACAACCAAAGGTGTTTGATAATTTCTTAAGACTCTGTAAGATGCTTGAATTATTCTTATAAAATATGTTTTCCCGCACATTTTAAACCTTTTTTTTTAAATTCAAATTCATAAACGTTTTACTTCAATTTCGTCTTGAAAACTCACGATATTGCATACCCCATGTTAATTTCGGTCGTTCATTTTCGCACTTTGTTCAGACAATTTCATACCTTATCCATACTCTTTCCTGAAAGACAGTTAAATTTCGACGCCTGCAATTGCCGAACGATAGATGAATCAATGTTGTCATTTTGCAATCAATGTTATATAAATTTCATTCAAATTCGTCTCGTGAATGTTGTGTCTGTTTAGTACATTCATCTCCTTATTTAACGTAGGTCTATGACCTAAAATAAGCATTTTTCATGTATAATTATTATGCGATTTTTTTATATATTTTTCAATACTTATTTGTGTATCAATTTAGTTCTTTGACAATTTTATGCGTCAACAACTAAAAGAAATAAGGTGTACACAGGCAAATGAAAATGCATACTTTTCATTTCATGCAAGAAATAAGTAGGCCTATAATAATGCACTTATGAAAAGCAAAATGGTTTATATTTTCACATCTTTCGGAAACAGTCAATTCAGTTCTTCTTTTTGTCCTTTGGATTGGTTGTTAAACCTTCAATTTCTTGTCTCGCAATACACCATGACAAATACGTCTGTGCAAGGCCAAATACATCTGTGCGCATTAGACTGATCAATTTGATCGATAATTTCTTTAAATCGATTGAACAAAGACGAATTAAAATCCTTACATTATGTAGATGGTCATCAGGTGAGACGAATTCCAGTGAAATTTGACGACATCGAATGGACAAATTCGATTAACCATTGGTCAACTGGAATGACCAACATTAAAGTAATTGTAGCATTTTAACGTTCCTGTCTTCTCGAGACAAAGTGAAGTTAACCGTTTATGAATTTGAATGATTTTTTTTAAATGGGCGTGAAAACACATACTTAAAAAATAGCGGTGCGTATTAAACACAATCTATAGTCTGAGAGTGACATAAAACCAGCAGCAATCATCTCTGGACTTGTACAAAACTACATGTAAGCAAGAGACGTTATAACAGTTCACCTCTGGTAACGTTCTATGAAAGAATGTCACACCAGCTGCATCCATTGCCTTCAGTCAATGTAAAAATGAAAGGATAGGTTGAGCGCAATAAATGATAGGTAGACATTAAAGTCCACGTGGAAAGATTAAACAGAGCAGAAATTAATGCGTGTAAAGTGATGTTTATTTCTAAGTATATACTTACGAGTATGGCTCTAATTAAATCTCCTTAATGTCCTCCTCGACGGTTATCTTACGACTGTCCATATTCTGTTGATAATAAAAACAAATCCACGAATAAAACACAAATCATATTAGCCCTTTGTTGTTTTACTGATTTATACAAAGTGTAACAAAAACGAAATACTTACAGTACTATAGGACTTTCTAGGACTATTTCTTGAGCAAATGAAACGGGCTATCAAATCGTCAAACAAAAACCACTATGGCGAAAAAGGCTTCCTGACATAATACTCCATGATTTTGCTTGCAATATTTTCATAAGAACTGTGATAAGATGTCATTGAAAAAACGATTGAAGTATGTTCATTTTCTTAATTTTTCTTGTAAAATTGATTTAACTTGTGTTTATTCAGGTATAGATAAAGTTTTGCAAACAGGGGTAAAAAGTTGAAGGCTCATGACACTAAATATTTAGGTTAAAACATGGAAAAGTTTGCAAATCAATTAGAAGTCATCTCTCTAAATTCCAAAGAGTGAAAATTCACTCCATTGAAGTGAAGATTCACTCCCACAGTTGGAACCTAGGGACTAGATGTTTTAGAGTGAAATTTCTTCAATCGTAAAGATTGAGTTTTCACTCGAGCTTCGACTGAAGTGGTTAATTTTTCAGACTATTTCAATAGAAAACGAGAGTGATTTTTACTCTAAAACGTCTAGTCTCTAATTTCACTCTTTTGAGTTTATGAAATGATATGAAATAACACTTATTTATATGCTCGGGACATCTCAGGTGTGCCTACTTCGACAGCCTGGCAGGACGGCTTTTCTGAGCACCAAGCCAAGTATAATTCCTGTGCATCTTTTACAATTGAGGGCCTGTGCCCAATCTATTCCTCTAACAGGGGCTGATCGAGCAATATTTGCAGGGGGGGGGGGGGGGTCACGCCTGTCAGATGAGTTTATGTCCGATTGTTGCGGACAGGGGGACATCCCCGTTGTCGTGTTGAATGAACACGAGAACGGTGTTTCTAATGACCAGAACCAACACGCAAACGGTGTTTCGAATGACCAGAACCAACACGCGAACGGTGTTTCGAATGACCAGAACCAACACGCGAACGGTGTTTCGAATGATCAGAACCAACACACGAACGGTGTTTCGAATGACCAGAACCAACACGCGAACGGTGTTTCGAATGACCAGAACCAACACGCGAACGGCGTTTCGAATGACCAAAACCAACACGCGAACGGTGTTTCGAATGACCAGAACCAACACGCGAACGGTGTTTCGAATGACCAAAACCAACACGCGAACGGTGTTTCGAAATTACCAAAACCAACACGCGAACGGCGTTTCGAATGACCAGAACCAACACGCGAACAGTGTTTCGAATGACCAGAACCAACACGCGAACGGTGTTTCGAATGACCAGAACCAACACGCGAACGGTGTTTCGAATGACCAGAACCAACACGCGAACGGCGTTTCGAATGACCAGAACCAACACGCGAACGGTGTTTCGAATGACCAGAACCAACACGCGAACAGTGTTTCGAATGACCAGAACCAACACGCGAACGGTGTTTCGAATGACCAGAACCAACACGCGAACAGTGTTTCGAATGACCAGAACCAACACGCGAACAGTGTTTCGAATGACCAGAACCAACACGCGAACGGTGTTTCGAATGACCAGAACCAACACGCGAACAGTGTTTCGAATGACCAGAACCAACACGCGAACGGCGTTTCGAATGACCAAAACCAAGACGCGAACGGTGTTTCGAATGACCAGAACCAACACGCGAACGGCGTTTCGAATGACCAAAACCAACACGCGAACGGTGTTTCGAATGACCAGAACCAACACGCGAACGGCGTTTCGAATGACCAGAACCAACACGCGAACGGTGTTTCGAATGACCAGAACCAACACGCGAACGGCGTTTCGAATGACCAAAACCAACACGCGAACGGTGTTTCGAATGACCAGAACCAACACACGAACGGTGTTTCGAATGACCAGAACCAACACGCGAACGGTGTTTCGAATGACCAGAACCAACACGCGAACGGTGTTTCGAATGACCAGAACCAACACGCGAACGGTGTTTCGAATGACCAGAACCAACACGCGAACAGTGTTTCGAATGACCAGAACCAACACGCGAACGGTGTTTCGAATGACCAGAACCAACACGCGAACGGTGTTTCGAATGACCAGAACCAACACGCGAACGGTGTTTCGAATGACCAGAACCAACACGCGAACGGTGTTCACGAACAGGATTTTCTCTTCCCTCTTATTGGGGCGTATATGAAGAACGTCAAGAACAAAGATGGCGGACTTAGGATTTCACAGGAACCTGCGTTAATGTTTGTGTATAAAAAAAAACAAAAAACAACTCATTCAGTGCAGGAGTAGTAATTGTAAAAAAAATATAATTGTACTTGGTTACAGAGTAGGATAGTCAGTCTTGTCTTTGCCAATTTTTATAGCTGTTCCGGATTTCAATTATTTTTGCATGAATTCAATCAATTGTCCCTTCTTTTCATTTGCCGTTTCGATACGGCGGCTGCCATCTTGAATTTTCGCCCTGCTGCACTCTACACGCACGTGGGCGGGCGTTCGCAATCGGCAACCCGAGAACACTGTTCGCAGGTCACTCGAAAATGAGGTTTTGAATACGCCCAACGGCTAGCTAATTATTACTATAGATGCTATATTTCTTTTGGTTTCTTTCAGAGCGGGGGGGGGGGGGGGGGGGTTTGACCCAGCCTGTCTTAAATGAATTAAGTTTAGTCACTTTTACTTTTCGCATCTACTAGTCTGTAGGCTTATGTGTCGTCTCACCTCGCCAGTCTTTTGTGTCAGGGAGGCTTCCGGGCTCAGACTTCTCAATCCTATCCCTTCTTCGACGGGCACCAAGGCGTGATCGTCACGATGGTCAAGACTGTCAGCGTCTCCCGACGGGCTCTGGCTGCCGCTGAAGGCGGGGTCCACTTTGTTCTTCTTCCGAACCACAATGTACAGAAGCAGAAATACCACGACGAAGACAAGACACACAGAGCCTAGGATGATAAACACTAAAGCGACGGTAGACAGACCATCTGTGTCGGAAGGAAATAACATTACATGTATCAATGGCGAGATGAAATGATTACCAATGTAGGATTGTACACTTGGAGAGGCTTAATTTAAATGGATGGTGACTTGACATGGACAAAAGGACTCTTTATGGACTTGGGATGATGGATTCTAGAGGACTATGACTTTAAATCTGTCTCAAATGTTACTTTTTCTATAGGTCCTGCATAACTTGGATTTCGATAGCAGTGGAAAATATGTCATACAGTCCTCGTCATTAAAAAGATAACAAGGTTGTTGGGAGTGTAATCCAATAGCTACTTCCTCCGCTGGACAAGAATTGATTGTCTAGAATGAAAAAGAAACAGAGCCTTGTGGTTACCCTGTGAAATAATGTACCCGGTATACCACTCAATCATGCCACGTACGGCCCGTACTACACTCTAAGCCATCCTCAGGCTAATAAAGTGAAATGCACGATGACATCCTCATCAAATACATGATGATGCACTTACCATCACTTGGTATTGGATCAAGCTGCGTCTCGCATCGCTCCCCGGTGTATCCAGCCGAGCAACTAAATAAACATGACACACACAGTTGATGATTAAGTCATCTTCAATAAGTCGACGCAATTCATCTGCCTTGCCAATAGTCGTCTATCAGACTATCACCTTAACATGAAACCTAACACGTTGCAACGATTCGACCTTCATACCATAAAACCTCCCGAATGCGCTGAATCAGAATTACTTTCCTTGGCAAGATTAAATTGTATTTGCCCAATTACCTGCAAATGAACCATGGGGAGAAGCTGGGCCGTTCACATGTCCCACCGTTAAGGCAGTGATCACTAGGGCAGGTTGTCAGAACCTCTGAAATAAGTACATAAGAAAATTGCTATGTTATCTAAATAATAACAACAAAAAGCAAAACAAACGTACGATTGTGCTGTTGCAAGGTACTGATTTTTGGTATGCTTAATTTTCGAAAGAGCTGACATGTTTGAAGCTTGTTAGTGTGATCTACTGTAGTAACATTTAATTTGTATTGGATTGTTCTACGGTGCAGAATAAACAAATAAAATCTAAACCGGTTTCCTGAGATAGATATACACTCAGTTATACCTTGAGCACGAACTGACTCCGGATCGATAGGAATCGTTGTACTGCCATCAATCAGGCTGGCACTACTTGACAAAACTTGTTCCAGGTTGACTAGAGAGGGCGCTCCATTCTCAGGGAATGATACCACAAACGTGACAATCAAACTGCCTGCTTCCATCTTTGTCACTTGCACTGATACAGCGTTACTTGTGGTCGGATTTGCCTCCAGCGTATTCATGATCTAAACAATAGATTCAAAGAAAAGTTGCCTTTTAAGACGATATCATTTCTCCTCGCTTTAGAACAAACTTCCAGTTTCTATATCTGAAAGGACACACTTACGTACTTTTAATTATGTCAACGGAGTCAAAGTTATCATGAAATATACCTTAAGTCAGAAGAGTGTGGGTGGGTGCGTTTAGGCATTCAAACGAAACATGCCGGAGAACAAAAGAGAACAATATCGTACGCGATTCCCAGCATACGTCCGCAATTGAGATCGTGTACAAACCATATGGGAGTTTTCGTAAACATTTTAAGTACAAACAAAAGAGGTGGGGTGGATACACGACTAGGAGTTATGGTTTGTGTATGACTATGTGTATGCGACCATGCCAACAATTAAAAGATTTTTTCCCCCGCCCCGTCACCTCTTTGGATTGTCTTTTTAAAGGTAATTAAGACATTTCTTTAGCAAAACATTCTCATGCCAATTTGAGCATCGTATATTACCGCCCGTTCAAACATTGCAGCAGTGGTTTTGAACGCGGTAGACGTTGGATTCGTGTAGGATTCGGAGAAGTTCAATAATGCTCTGATCACCACTCCAATTGAAGGGTATTCTAGAAATAAACAAATATATTATGAAAATGGTTAGTAATCGCACCCTCTCAAGCAATAAAGAAAAGCAAGCTGTGGACAGGATGATAAGTTTCGCATTTATTTGAATTGAGTACTGTTGAATTTGCAAGGTATAAGTTACCACAAAACGGACCTTGCAGGCCTTTATGTTATTTTATACCATCACGTCATTAAATGAGGAAAGACAGATGAACTTAAGGTAAATAAATAGTCTTACTTTTACATGACCCATCGTCGCTTTGGACGTATCCTTCATAACCGCGGCAGTGACATGCGAAGCCCTCTTCGTTTTCATCTGGTAAACAATGCTGACCAGTCCCTGAACATAAACTGCTATTAGAGAAACAAGGATTCTCATCTGGAAAAAGAACGAAATCAGATTTTTTTAAACAAATAATTGTATTAAGACCGTAATCAGTAATTCAGTCCGGCAACCGGAGTTAAAGTTAAAGCTAATAAAAACTTGAGTAGCTGACTAGTGACAAAGCTATATGGCGGTTAAATGTCTATCTGAAGAACATAGCTTCAACGTGCAAACAATGACCGTTAATCACTTGCCTGTAAAATCAAGACTGAATTTAAATATCGTAAAATCATCTGGACACAAAAGAGATTCATGAAGCTAATGACGTGAACTGATTACTATAATACTTTCAAATTCATTTCACAATTCTATATTGACGTACCTGCGCAGGTAGGTCCAGAATATATCAATGGACAGATACACTCACGAGTGTCTTCATCGAATTCCCCTCCATTCAAACAGCTGGAAACTGATAGTTCTATTTAAAGGTGAAATAAAATCACAATTGGCTGATTGAGCTGAAGAAAGAGCAGTTTTCAAAATACTTGTAGTACGCGTAAGAAGCAAAACAACCCTTCTAAGCTATTGGTAAGAAGTTTCAAATCTGTACATGACTGGGTTCTCCTTGGAATGAAATGATTCAGAAAATTTCATATTTCTATATACCATCGAGAGACGAATGTGGTTAATTCGCCTTTTCTAGAGCACAACATACGATCAGCAGCCGGAGTGGAACTCCTAATCCTCTGATCGCAATTCGAAAAATCTACACCTTCACAATCCAACGAAGCAACAATATTAAGGAATAATGTGAAATGACATCAGTCAACCTGTCAATCTGTCGACCCATCACATTATGTTACTTCCCATTGTAGATACAATCTTGTGTGATGACTTTTTTTTCCAGCTGTGGGTTTAAAGAGTCAAAGATAATTTCCAACACGAATCACATAGGACATTCGATTCCCTCCCTGCTTTATCCTCTACACGTCCCTCCTTGTGAACATCAGAATCATTGACTTCACCTGCAAGTGACAGCATCGTGATTAGAATACCCCACCTGCTCCAATCAAACATACCCAAGCATGTCTTCCCATCCTCGTCCAGATAGTATCCCGTGTTGCAGCTACATTTAAAACCCAGCAGGGTGTTCTCACAGATCTGATCACATCCACGCCCGCCATTGCTGACTGGCTCATCTTTGTACAACTCACACTCATCGATATCTGCAAGGAATTTGATCCGAATGAACGTGAAAGATGAACAACGTTAATAATTTAATAAAGCAACCAAAATTAAAGCTTTTTAAAGAGGCTCGCAGACGCCAAAATCTTTGTTACAGTAATCAATACAAATTAAAAATCATCAGGCGAACTAAATGGGATTTGCTGAAGAGCATGGATAGTATATCGTTGTGGTATTTGTGTAGTGGCCAGGACGGGTAGTGATATAGGGTCGACATTATTTTTTTTCAACTGATAAAGATTTGTTTAGTGCAAGTAACTTTATTGAGTACGTTAGTCATCACTGTGTTAAGAAAGATCACGTCAGGTACGTGGTTTATTCTGTTTCTCAATTACATGTTTTTCAAGCAAAATACCAAACTAGTGCCGTGTTTCACGATGCAGTCTTCATAGCAGGACGGGTTTCTGGCTATCTCACAAACAATAACTTTCAACCTTATTTCATCAGAGGGTTTCTATATTTGCCAAAAATATTTATCACTGCGGTGCAATCATGCCATTCGATTAATTACCTGTGCATGTTTTTCCATCGCCTTCAAGTCCCTCTGGACAAGGTCCACACGTGCTATTCAAAGATGGCGGGTCTTCGTCTACACACTCGACGCCCAGGAAACACGGGCTGTCTGCGCAAGCGTCGTAGTTTGCCTCACAGAACTCTCCGGTCCAACCTGGCTCACACTCACACAACAAAACCTGATGCACAATTTGCAAACACAGAAATCGTCGACACTAGCATGCACATGCAGTACACTTGAAATTGGTACTTTGAGAATGTGGGTGAAGCTTGTCCGCAAATGTCACTGATCCCGAGAAAGACCATTGCTACTGTTTAATCAAGCCTTACACAGAATCATGTTTAAAATTAAGGTGCAAAGGATTGTGGGTGATGACAACGCAGTCAATGCTGACTGATATCAAAGCATAAAGTCACCAAAGTTCACTGTCTATTCGCCGGGTTGGCACGCTTGCTTGTCACATTAGTTTGATGCCTGTTTAAACTTAAAAATAACAGTTGTTTTCCATGAGTTTCCGAAGTTGTTCTTTGACTAATACATTTGAAATGTGTAACAGCATCGCACTGGAGATGCTATTCATATAGCGTGATAGGTCATAATATGTAGCCAGACTATATAGTAGATGATTTGATATAAAGCTATAAAAAACTGTTTGCATTTACCCCGAAGCGGTCTTGGATGAGATTGGTACCGTCAGCATACTGATCCGAGAGACACGTTCCGCCATTTTGGCAGTCACAAAGATCCACTATTGGCTCAATTGTAGAATTAGATCGTCCATCTGTTGCTAGGAAACCGACCTTGACCTTTGACTTGTCAACTGGCGTCCAGGTGAAAAGGCCAGCTGTAATGAGAGATGTAAAGTGCCTACTTCAGTAATATTCACAGCAGCTCTAAACAAAAATTGTTCCTTCAAAGTACCGAAACAAAGTTAATGAATACCGCCTTTGCATTCTCTTCAAATTTCTTCTTCGCGAAGTTGAGAAAAAAAGGCAATCTTTCAGAAGAGTAAATTGAAAAGATTAATTGCATTTGCAATATTTAAATTTTAAGGCCCAATGATTCGGCATATTCAGACATGTAGGGCAATATATATAAAAAGTATGAAAGTTGTCAATTAACATGAACAAAGGACTAACACAGAACTCATCTGGCTTCACTAACCTCCTTCTGTAATGACGGCACTGTCAACCGCCTCGAGCAGGTGATATGCAACCTCGTCCCCATCTGGATCCATAGCTTCCAATTGCAGCATGAGTGTCTGTCCGACGGTTGCCTTAATGCTCGCAATGGGCGTCAATTTGGGCGGGTAATTGGCTGGAAAATAATCGCGTCCACTATAAAATTAGGTTGTGTGTTTCATGGAGTTTGCTGTAAAGCCATCAGATTCCTGTTTGAAACGACTTTTGATAAAATCTTAATAAAGGAATCCCCAGGTATTTTTAAGAAATATATATATGTCTGCAAGGAGGGAGATATGAACAATGCACTACATACCTTTTAAATAGGTTAAGTGTTAATGAGATAAAAGGAATCAATATTTGATAATTGCCGATAAAATGGGGTGTAAAAGCAAATGTGTTATTTGGTGTGATCAGTTTGTGGAATTGTCACAAAATATAAAGGTGATGAAAATCGTGCGAAATTATTTGAATGAATCTGCCTTTCTTTTCGCTAATACGATTGACGTTTGGCGAAATGCAAATTTATGCACAATTCAGTTGACTCCTGATTCCGTTGTACGTTCGTTGAAAATGAACTTACTTGGTACAAAATCGAAACCAAACAGGCCAAAAAGAATTTGTCTGCACGAAAAATGTGACTGCACGCTTAATATTTGAACACATTGAAATGATGTAACTGCGATTTAGAAACTGTATTCGCGTGCAATGAACATTTTCTTTTGATTGAATGAACAAGTTGTGTAATTGGGTAATTGGTGAATGCCATTTACTATTCAACAGTTAGGATCGTCTTTGTTCTATGGCTCGGTATTTGTGTGCAAATGCTTGCTGGTGTGCGTGTTGCGCGCAGCGCGTATTGTTCACAAGAGCCAGTAGCTATAGAGTTCGGTTCAAACATTTCGCGAAGGGGTGGTTTGGAAGAGAGATATACATTTCCCACCAATGTTGTATTGAAATAGAAGTTCATTTTAACTGTAAATCAAATGACAAGGATCTATAAGTCAGTTTTATAAAACAAATATTGAGTGGCTTTAAATTGTGAAATGGGAGGAATATTTCCGCTGGGTAAAATCTTGACTTTTCCATTTCACTCGGCATATACCTTGCGATAATATTCCTCCCATTCCACCCTGAGCCACTCAATATTTGTATAATATTAACCTTATGAAGTATAGCCATAGTCGTACATGAATAAAGTACTTCTGAAGGATTGCTTGAGTTCAATTTATTGTTCTAAAAATAACCACATAACATTGATTTAAAAATGCATTCTCCTTTCCAATTTTGAATTTCCTTCAAAAGATCATCAGAAGGGATATGTAATTTTAGTATATCCGGAAATGATCCCCATAAATTAAAAATAGTGAACAAGTTTTCATCGCACTTACTTGCTGATTCGAGGTCTGCACTGTTTTTTTCATTTAGTTCCAGTGTGGCCATTCCGATTGACGTATCATTCAGTGCCAACGAGTCGTACAGACACTCTCTGCTCTCCCCACAAACCTCTTCCACCTTTTGGCGTGTCTCTGCATCCACGCTGTTCAGTAAATCCTCCAAGAATTTCGGTTGGAAGGACAGGTCATTCATGTTGTCCCAGCTCTCCTCGGGTGGCAAGTAGTAGAAGTGGGAATCATTGACGGAGACACGCCCTATATGGTACCAAGGAAACATTAAGAAGTTAAACACACAAAAACGCTCGCGAAATTTGCGAAGCGGCCAAAGTCATGCATTCTAAAACTAGAACGGAAACTAATTTTAGTGCACAGACTGTAATGTTACGTTATTACGGATTGTACTTAATAAATGGAAAGTGTTTTCCTATCACAATTCTTTGGTTTGTGTTGCCTGTATTAACGAGTACTTGCTTCTCCAGTAACTCACACTTGCAATACATATATCTTGAGGCAAATCAACAAACAACTAACTGCGATGACACTCAGCCAATCTCCGTTGGCACGGCCAGAAACTACACATATAAGTTTGATACCCCCTCAAGTACACAGAAGCACAGAGCAGCATGTCAAAGCACACTTTGTCTTCAGCATCATATAGTATTTGCTTACAGGTTTCGCCGAAATCAAAGTAGTCTCGTTCAAGCATCTCCCCATCAGCAGCGGTGGGTTGTTGAAGTGTACCGTTACGCTTCAGGACATCATTAGTCTTGTTTCCATCCCAAACACCTGATGATAATAACCAAAAACAAAAAGAGATTACAATGGTAAGAGCTACAGTCATTTGGTTATTAAAATTCTGTTCTGGTGGATTCAAATCAAAAGTAATTGCAGAACCTCAGGGTTCCTGAAGCCACCTTTTTTTCATGAAGCATGGCTCTTCAAAGTGCATATAGGTTAACACTAGATGGAACTACACAAATTCATCGAATTACCTCTATAATAATGTTGTCGTTACCAAGTTTTGATTGGAACCTGAGGCGGTTGTTTTATGATTCAGTGCATCAGTTTGGGCTAGTTAATTGAGCGGATCGTCCTTCCACAACATTACTGCTGAATGAAAGATTAGCTAGGTCATCATAATACATAGTATTATGTTGATGATTTATTTAAGCGCAAAGAAATATCAGTGTAAACATATTCATTGTAAAATGTAAAAATTACATACCCAATAGGCCTTTAGTTCTTCCTCTGTAATCTTGGCTTAGCTGGACAGTAATGTCAACAAAACTGTTGTTCACTCCGACGGAAAACTGGATATCTGAAGCAAATGATGCCACCACTTTTGAAGGCTCCTCCTCCCTCTTCACAGTTAAGTCGTCAAACATCAATCCTGAAAACATCGGATCGCTACGTTATCCTTTCTGATATGTAATAGCTTAACGATCATGCTCTTTAATTGATACATTTTAACTTGCCTCCCATCGAATTTCCAACCTGTGTGTTTAATTTTAACGGAAAAGGTATTTTCTTTAAAAAAACCTTTTATCTGTCCGGCGTTAAACAATCTCCCCTCCAAACATTTTTTAAAAATTCTGATGAGGATTGGGAACCAATTCAGAATTCGAAAACTGAATTGTCGAGCCAAATATAATACGAAACTTGTAAACTTGTGAATTTCATAATTCCATAACTATTCCTGCGTAACTATTCTTTTCGTTCGATGTCGCATATACAAGTGAATACCTTACCCTTTGTATTGCTAGGAGAAAATATTTTTGAAAAATACATTGCAATTTAAATTAGATACTAGCACGGATATTAGCACTGGTAGTACATGTATACATCTTTGATGTGAGCAAATGCAATCTTCAGTTTATACATAATGCATTTAATTTAAAATCAAACATTCCTTTGAGGCTTCGATTCCCTTGATTTGGTATCAATAACAAAGCAGCCAAAAAAGGAAATAACAGTAATTACGACCAATTGAGAGGTCACAAGATGTTTAGGATGCGTTTGGAAAGTTAGCACTGGTAGTACATGTATACATCTTTGATGTGAGCAAATGCAATCTTCAGTTTATACATAATGCATTTAGTTTAAAATCAAACATTCCTTTGAGGCTTCGATTCCCTTGATTTGGTATCAATAACAAAGCAGCCAAAAAAGGAAATAACAGTAATTGCGACCAATTGAGAGGTCACAAGATGTTTAGGATGCGTTTGGAAAGTTAAACTATTACATTGAAATGCATTGTGTAAACAAGTTAGATTCTTGTTTACACAATGCATTTCAATGTAATAGTTTATAAAAGTTTGCTATAAAAATATAGCAAAAAAATGAGTAAACTGAAAACAACCGTGTTATAGCAATTAAACACTGTCTAAACACTTTCGTGCTGTCACTTTGTAAACATGTTAAACTGCAAACATGCTAAAAATGTTGATTGATAGTTTTCAGCAATTGAATTGATGTTCAGGAAAAGTTCTGAAATTATTGATGTTCAGGAAACATGTTTTCAAAGTGATAGCAAGATCGTGTTTTATTGCTAAACACAATTTATGGAGTGCAGCAGAAACACCAAGGCTCCAAAAAAAAAGATAGTCAAACAAAAAAACGCGTCGTTCTAAAGAGTATCTTTACTTCAGTTGGCACAAGCATCAGAACGTCCAAAATCGATAAAACAAATCGCCGAATCTTATATTCAAACTTTAAAGCTGAACCGCATAGCTGCAAGTACTTAAAAAAAAACACTTTAAAGAATGATGGTTTAAGCTAACCTGTCATTGTTGGTTCAACTACTTCCCCATTGACTGTCGTTATAAGGTCTGTGGCGTCTTCGTTCAGTTTTATTTCAACCTGTTACGATTAACAACACAACAATCCTGGCACAGTTATTTAGCATCCAGCGCAAATCAAATGTGCATATATAACAGACTGCCAAAATTAATATGGATTGAAAGATGATGAAATACATCTTCTCTACATAAAATACCAGGGAAGAGATGACATATTTGTTAATACTTTCCACCAGGATTGTTTGTGCTACCCGATGGCTTTAGTTTTTCTTTGTTAAATTGATGCCGATAATCAGGCGTTAAGTTTTCATCGTTATTGTACCGGTGTGAGTTATATAAACATGTACTAACCCTGGAACCGCTGACACTGTCTAAAGCCGCAAAGCCACTGTACTCGGTAGCATCAGTTAGTTGCTCCGTTTTGCGATCAACCACTCTCTGCGTGCGGCCTTGAAGCTCGAACAGTTGTTCGCCTCTTTCTACGTCTTCAATCAGGACCAGTGTGTATTCACCCAGACCATTGAAGGTGTAGTCCAGACCATCCAGTGTTCTCACGTGCGGATCTCCCCAAAACCAACCTTGTGATTAAGGATAGAACATGAAAAGTATATCACATGAACCTACTATAAAGAGTTGAATTTCGATTTTAGATTTAGATGGGCCAAACTATAGCCTAGAATTTACAATGACCTTATATATTCAATCATATTTTAAATGTGACAGTAATTTCGTTTTTTTTTTTACGAAGATCATGAACCTTTGCAAGCAACGCGATCAAACTCCGATGAGTGTGTAGGCCTAAGTAAAAACCGTTTCAGCCTGAAAAAAATATATGACAAGTCTGTTGTTTTGTATGAATGGCGGCCTAGATGTTTCTTTTTTGTTTCATCATTGTCACTCACGATTTCAACAGAAAAGAAGAAAGGACAATCATTTCGTAAGACACTTACCCCAAAACGTTGGCAGATAGTGAGAGCAAGTCATGAGAGGGCGAGTTTCAGTATACAGGTCACACAGGGTCGAACTTTCACAACAGTAGTAGCGGGAAAGAACCTCTTCCTCTGCAAAAAGTAAAAATATCTCAGGAAATAAGATCATCACTTTCTGAGTATAGGGCCTGCGATGTGTAGTCAGTCACATCATGCATCCCGTAATCTTTAGAACTGAACACAATATGCGTCCATGCATGCATCATTGAATGGAAGTCCGACAGTGATTCACTCACAGCAGTTATAATGATTTGGTTTGGGATTACTTACCGTACCACTTCTGAAACACATCGGGCGTGTGGAATAATGGACTGAATGGAAACCTCTCAAAGACTGAAGCGACTCGAGGATTCCTGATGTCAAGCAGGAGATCACCAGTCCATCTCTTATAGCAGCATTGTGGGCCAGGGGTCCCCGGGGCTTGATACAGTCGCACGAAGCAAATGACGGCTAACAGACATGGAAGGAATTAAAAGAATGACAACAAAACATGTTCCCTTTAAATTGTATATATATATATATATATATATTAAATGGACCTTTTTGTCTGATTTAAAAATGTGTCACCTATTACGTTCCCCGAGCTAATTTCGAATTTTATCCTGAAAAGATCCCTTTTCTATCTAAATTGCTATTTTTTTTACAGCAATTGAAAAGTCATTTACTTTTGAAAGAGTCATCTACTTCAAAGTCTGGCCATATTTAGTAATTGATATTATTACTTTACTACTATTAAAAATGATCGGCTGCTAGACAATAATTTCCGTGCTTGTTGGGAAGGCTGGTTCTCTCCCCACAATCAGTATCAATAATGTACGGACCGGGATCCAGTTTGCTCGCACAGCGGATCTGTTTATGCACAAAACAAAACCCCTTTTCAGAGTTTTGCCGACGTCCAAAAATCGTGAAAAGGCTTTGGAATGAAAAATGTGTGAAATTTATTAATAGAAGACAAAATCGAACTTGTTTAAAAGCACGGGGGAACGCAATTCTAATGCCAATTTTTACGGACATCCCAATTCAATTGAGTCCTTTCAGAATCAGCTTTTTTTATAATAGGTTAAAAATATCAATAAGGGCCAACACGTTTCATGTTCATAATAACATTTGACGATGACTGGTAGTCTTTTGCATTTCCTTTCTGAGACATCTATTTTCTTTCATCTATTCTACTTTCTGAGAAATGTATTGAACTGTGTTAGTTGGGATAAAGAAAAGAAAAAAAATACTAACATCTGTCTTGAAAGTAATCCCAGACGACCCCCTTAGGAACAAAATAAGGATGCCACCATGATATGCTCAGAAATCTCCAATCGAACCAGGCCATTATCAAACTGCAGGGGCACGTGTTGGCAAACGGAGGATAGTACACATCGAAGACTGGATACGGTTGCTGATGACTGTGCCAGTTACGGCATGATAAGCGCGGGTTGATGAAGTCATCTGGGAGGCTGTCAAGTTGGAACACCCAGCGGCCTTTCTGCCCTGAATTCCCGACGATGCTTCCTGGACGGAACAACGAATCCGCGGGGACATCCACGTATACGCTCTGGCTAGAAACACCGCACGTGTAGCCCAGGATGACGTTTTTGTTGGCTAGAAAGGCGGTGTCCCAATTCATGTTGCAAGGATCGTAGTTGAATATGACATAGCTATGGATGGAATCCGTCAGGAGTATGGCCTGGAATGTGTTCGTATCCTGCAATATTAGCAAAAATGGAATACATTTGATGGGAAATGTTTGCAGGACATTTTGAACCAAAATACCATAAAGATAAGTTATGAACTTAGTAAACATTTTTATGATTTCACATTTCCCCAGGCTATTTGAACCATTTTTCCATTCAAATTCAACAATTAACATTCCATTAAGTCATTTACCATTCAATTTGTTAGTTTGGTCACCCCCTTAAGTCACCGGGTCGAAAAATATTCGACATTAAAGATCAATTCGTCTAAGCTTTTGCCGAATGGCAGCATTCATAGGTCGAGTAAGACTTACATAAATCTTACGTAAGTCTTACATAAATCAACTAGACGAATGATTTCTGAATAACAATGTTAGGCGTTGACGAGACGAAATCGAAAACTCCGGAACAAAATTTTGTGCTCATTGTTTGAATTGGCTTGAACTGAATTTGAAATTGTCTTACAAAAGATGAAATTAAGCATTAGAAGTGCACTAAATCGATGTTGCTGGATGAAGTTGAATATTAGAATCGGTGACTTCGAACGATAAAAATAGCCGGAAAAACCTATATTATATACTATATAGGGACAACTTTTTCTATTGATATCTTGGATTCGTTCCTCAGGATTTCCTTCGATTGAGTTCCATTGTTTAAAAAATGTCTAGTGGAAACCCTCTTTGTACAGTTTTGGATAAAAAATTGAGAAAAAACAGACTGAAGACAAATAACTTCAAGGGATATACAAGAAAAACAAAACAAAACAAGATTTTCATCAATTGATCATCTTGTGCCGCAGCGTGAGTTGAATCTCGGACAGTAAAAATAGTGATTTGAATTTCCAACAGTGAGGAAATCGTAGGTATCTTCAAACATCATTGGCTGGTGCGCGGGCACAAGACGGTGCCCAAGAGCACAGATTCATTGCTGTCCGGAATCACTTTCTCGCACCGACACTGAATTATGCTGTGGAATTACCCACCAGGTCGCTGAATATGCATACTTGTGACTTAATTAATTAGGGGGTGGATTTAAAATACAAGGTTTTTAGGACTCCACCTCAAAACCTTCAGGATTTTCAAGTCTGCATTAAACACGAGGTTGGCAATTTACGTGATCAACCCGAATTTTTGGTGACATGGACAATGGAATATATGCGTCGCCGCTGAGGAATTTTGTGTTAAAAAGGTAGGTGGACATGCGAAAGTTGATTGTATGCAAGGTTTTGAATCCTGAATATTTAAGCTTATTACTTGACAGTTATTCTGTTTTGTGCATGTCTTCATAAAGTTAAATATTCATTGAACCTACCTGTCTTAAAAAAGTCATGTATGTCTGGGTGTGCTATTTTATTGTTTACCCAAAACTGTCCCAAGTGGATTTCCACATGCAATAATCCAAACAATAAAATTTACTTAAATTAAGTATATAGCTTATTAATATAATCATTTTGTTAGTGAGTTACCTTTATTTGGGGGGACCCTGTATAGTGTCATTACGTAAGATAGTCTTTGTTGAACTCGTTTCCCTTGCATTTATCGACGTATTAAAAAAGGTGTCAGTGTAATTCGATATTCTTAAGGGTAATGTTACTCACAGCTGCGATTGAAACTGGCTGAACATTACTCCAAGTGACAACTAGTGCCCAGTATGCTGCTGCCGTGTAGTTCTGAGCTCCCATGGCAGTTGATACAATGGCTTTGATAATATCTAACATGTCTTGGTTGGTGTTGGGATCGTACTGGTCATACACCTTGGGAGGAAAATATTCCATGTTGAGAAATAGTGCGGCTTGATTTATGACATCCTTTGGGACGAGCACACGTTAACGGAGATTACATGCCTTTTTAAACATCTCTAAGCTTGTACTGATAGGTTTGATTCCGGGAGATGGGCTATCAATAATGATTTAAGAAGTAAGTCACATTCTGAACATATTAAGATCTTGAAACACTTTTGTCAAGTCATTACCTGCCAGAAGACGTTCTTTTTGTTGGAAAAACCATCTGCTTTGACATCCGCCCAGAATGGTGTTATCATTCTCGGACCGTTAGGAAACGCTGAACTTTTGGTACCAGGAAACGCGAATTTATCGAGGCTTTTATCATTGGACAGAACAATCACGCCGTTGTCAGTGAACTATACAATGAGAGACAGAAGGAGATAAAAGACACCTTGGTTTCAATTTCACGAATTTGAAACCACTTTTGAAAACACAAAAAAATGTTACATTCAAGAACATATATCTATCGCCAAACACGGGAAGTGAAAATCGTTAAAATAAAGTCGTTTCTTAAAAAACGTGGATGAGAATCACGACAATTTGCCATAAAGAGATTAAATCAAATTGAAGGAAACGTCATGGAATGCTGAAGAACAGGGAGATTGTTGTGCTGAACATCTTGCACATCGTGGTCTAATGCTTTGCCGGTGCCTACAGTAATCTTGGGAGGAAGCTTACGTAAATTTTCTCAAACAGCTCATCGCAGAAGGGGAAGAAATTCGGCGGATAAATAGTTGGAGATATCAAATCCTTCTTGGACTGCTGCTTCTGTAACAATAACAAGTGAAGAAACCAATAGCATTTGTCAAATTTGAAAATCAGAGGACCCAAGAATCGCCAGTCATTCATCACAATGGATACTTTTCACTTTCCTTTAGTTGTTATTCGTCACTATGCCTTGGTATAATTATAATACTTTTCTGTTTTGTCACAGTTTTCTATAAAGAAAAGAACATAATAAACCTAAAAAAAACTTATCACAGACCCCTTAATAAAAAAAGTATGTAATGATGGAAATTTGAATACTGCGTTTGTCGAGAAATTCAAAGCAACTTGAGCTAAAACAATTTCCTGTCATGATTTTATGTGAAGTGTTTGAATGCTTCATGTCAGCGATTAATGCTTACCTCTTGCATTGCTTGTGATAGAAGAGAATCGCCAACCTCCAGCCCAAATGGAATGTGATTACCAACTGTAAACAGAGAATAGTTAAATGTCAACACTGCAAAATAAGCAGTGTAAATCTAACATCATTGGTGTCTTTAATAGGACCATTGGTTTGAACTTGTTACATCTGTGGTCCTATATTGAAATAAACTATAATTAAGTTAATTAACAAAAGTGGAAACATTCCAAGGAAAATCCCTCATTCGGAATGCGGATAATCGTTTTCCATGATACTACAAGCAACCACACTTGTGATCGCACAGTTTGAAATCTAAGAGCTAATCTCTGGGGTGCTACCCCCTGGTATACTACCACCAGTTGTGCGACAGTTGTGCGAGCGTGTTGGTGATAATCTTACTTTCAAGACGCGTTAAAACAGTGACCATGTAATAAAAGTCGCTAATATAACTCGCTGCATACACGTTTAAACATGACTTACCAATGACGTTGAATCCAAATGCTTTCGATCTGACACATCCACCTGAATTGATGGCAGTGCATGTTATAACGTGAGTTCCTACTCCAAATACACCTCCTGATGCGCCCACGTCCATTCCATCTCCAGAATCTGTGCAGGTGACGACTAGGTCACCAGCAGCTGTGGCTGGTACTACACTCCAAGTCACTGTGGATGTTTCCTGTCCTGGATCGGTGCACTGGTCTCCTAAATTTGGAACTCCAAGAACGGGATAGGCTGCACGGTAGGTGAGAACAAAATCTTAGCTGACACTGAATGAAGACCAAAATTTGACAATAAAATCTAGTTCAAGAGCCCTGCCAGAATTTAAATAGATAATTGCGTCAGTTTCGATGAGTTTTATGAAAAGACGAGGCTTTGCCTTGCTCGCTTTAGGGGGTGGCTCTGCAATCGGGGACCCCCCTATTGTCCCTCTTTTGTTTGTACACTAACCTTTCAGGAAGACCTCCCATATATTTTGTACACATCACCAAATTGGGACCTTCGGGAATTGGGGACCCTAAGGTCCTCTATTGTTCAAAGTCTCTTATTGAATGCAGAAAAAACCTCGTGAATACACCCACGTGTGTAAACATCGGCAATCGTGGACACCCAATTGTCCCTTATCCTCTTTCCAGCTCTTTGTACACGATTTGAGATCGTGGACGTTCGGTCAATCGTGGACGTACTGTTTGTCCCCCAATTCTTTTTGTCCTACGTACACGATTGCCGGCGTTTACCCACGCACACACACACACTTGCATTTACGTTACATACCTATTGCTTTGTTTTCGTGTAGTTGAGAAAAACCTGTGAACAAACTAATTTTACTCACACTATGAAAGCTCTTTAAATCCAATTTTTTTCCCTATGATCCCCTCGATTTGATCGAGTGTTTCTCTTCATTTTGCGACAAATAAGCCTAACCCCAAAAATGCCTCTTAATCCATTTTCTAGAGAGGGGGAAACCTTGTGTGGACCTGGGCAAGTCCACACAATGTACGGTATCGGAAAACTGGCTTATGTGGAAAAATCGTTATTCGGAAGTCCACACAGTGAATGTAATGCTTGTACACCCACACCTTTGGCGCTTTGGGGATAATGATGATGATGATGACATCGGATTTTGTTTAATAATTCGTATATATTTGGATAAGTGGGGCTGTACGGCGATTATGTTCGAATAGTGGGTATTGGACTTACCCAAGTTGTCAAACACTTAGAACATATATTACTTATTGCAATCATGTACATTAGTTTACAGTTTAATAGAGAACGAAAGTAAAAATCCCATTCATTGTGCTAATTAACACTGATATTAAACAAACATTCTAAGATTGTTCAGAGGCGTAGCAAGGTCACTTTAATTGGGGGGGGGGGGAACATTTCGTGAAAAGGGCACTTGCATATCCATCCTGAAATATAGACACGTTTCATTTTCTCCGGACACTTGGCCTCCGTAAAATCCAACAGTGTGTGTGTTTTTTCTGCATTCACAAGGGGACGTTGAAAAACAGAGGACAATAGGGTCTGAGATTCCCGAAGGTCCCCAATTTATGATCGTGTACAAAAACATAAAAGTTATATAATTGTGCACACTAACAGACAATATGTAGTGCTTTCCAGGGCGATAAAAGTGCAAAATTAATTTAAAAAACACAGCCGTAACGGCCGACGGCACAAAACAGGCCAGGATTTTTTTTTTAAAGTGCACTTGTTAACAAAAGAAGGACACTCTTCCCAAATACTGGTGGGGTGGGGTGGGGGTAAGCGCTGGTGCAAAAAAAAGGTATTTGAATGGAAAAGGACAGTCTTGAAAAATTATTAGCGGGTAAATACGCCCTTAAACCCCCCAGCTGGCTACGCCTATGATATTGACACGGAATACAGCGCTATATTCGCTCTCTTACTTGAAACAGTAAAGGAGATCAAACACTGTGGGACGACACCGGTCTGCGTATCCGAAGAGCAGACAACTTCGTGCGTCCCTATCCCGAACACGCCCCCTGTGAGTGTGACACTAGCCCCGTCGGTGATATCCACGCAAGTGATGTCAGAAGGAAAGATTGGTTCACCAGATGGCTCGACAGCTGCGACTTGGGTCCATGTGATTGACACGGAGGTCACGCCCTGTTTTAGACACTCGTTTGCAACTTCTGGACAATTTGTTGTGGCGCTTACTGTATGGAAACAATTGAGTCGTCTTCTTAACATTCCTCCAATAGAATTTAAGTCATGTACTTAAACTCACTAAAACACAATATTTGATACATTTTATCTGTCTTAAATATCATGTGGGTGACTGAAACATCTGCCGTACATTTTGTTTTCGGCAAATGTCATTCATCCTTACAACCCAAAACAAAAGCTATGAGCAACGTTAACATCATTTTCCTTTCTGTTGATTGCTAGAGTGGGTTTGTGTCTCAGAATTATTCCGATCACGTGGAATATGGTGTTGATTTGGAAACATCAAATGTGTATTTGTTTAAGGTATTGAAGCTTGCGTGACTTCGCTTTACAATGAGAATCATTCTACAACAAATGTTGGTGCATTTTAGCGGAAACAGCAGATGAGAAGTCAGCGATTCCTACGACTGTGACCTTCTTTGTGTTGATGTTACTCACGTTCATTGCACTGTGGACCTGTGAATCCTGAAAAGCATTCGTTGATGTCCTTGCAATTCCGAAAGGGTGTGTTGGGTCCAGTACATTCAGTTCCCACGTCGTTCACTGTTTCATTGGGAAATAAGACATGAATTTTAACATTTGATTATCACTTACTATATTGGTCGTAATGAAGACTATTTCAAAATGGACATATCGTTTCTTTGTTGTAAACGCTTGCAATTTGTTAGCTTTAAAGACGCATGGTTGTATGAATCTCGGTCACATAAAAAAGAAGTGAGATTTTGGTCAATGCGATCTTACGTGAGCAATCATGTCCACAAAATCCTGACGAACACATGCAATCCCTTGGCTGATTTGAAGAACATATGCAGTTGGGTGGGCTACCAGTAGCTAGGCAGGACTCACCGTCTGTGTCAAAATAAAATGCAATAAACTTCTAATTTGAATTGTATGCTTTCCTATGTAACAGTGACTATGAAAGGTAGGTAAATGAGAAGATATCTTTTTTGAAAACATCTGCTTTGGTCTTAAACACATCTTACCGTTCACGGAGGAAACGATGACGAGTGTGTCGCACGTTGCACTATTCGATGACTGGTCGGTCGCTTTGTAGCGCATCAAATGTGGAGACGTCTCAAGATCGAAAGTGACAGTGTCACCAATCTCGTATGGAGAGCCGTTTACTTGGACGGTGATGGTGTACGATGCTCCAGAGTTGTCATATACAGAATGGACATCAGGCAGTGAGATTGTTGAGAAGCTCTTGTGACAGTCCGTGTAAACCGTCAGATTAGTGGCGCAAGAGATGTCCGGAGGCTCAACATCTTTAATGAAAGTTAATGTAAGATAACATGGAAAACACGATTAGTCTATTTTTCACCAGGGTGTTTTGTTCAATGTCTCCTGTGGTTTAGTTTGGCCTTCTTCCGGCAGATTATAAGTAGATATGCCTATTTTGTAAGTAAATTAGTTTGCGATGTAACCCACAATTTTGGGATTCATGATTCTAAATAATCAGGGTACTACATGTAATTCAAAAGTATGTCTACTACAGAAGTTAAATTGTTCAAGCTACAATTTTCACCTGCGCATGATGAACCATTCCCTGTATATCCAACGTTGCACACGCAGTAAAAGCTCTGAGCCGTGTCCACACAGTAAGCATTCTCATCACAGTCATGAAGAGGAACATCCGGGTCACATTCGTCGATATCTGTAACGGAAATCAGTTACACAGAATTAATAACCAGATATAGTATTGATATGCAGTTAGTCGATCAAGCCAAATGGAACAGGTGAGTCTGCTGACGATGACTAGAGCAGGCTAGTCAAAACGTTGAGACCAAAGACAGTTCTTTTACCGGTAGAACTTAAAGCAGGACTGTTCTTATTTAGAACTTAAAGCAGGACTGTTCTTATCAGAACAAAAACTACATAGCGAAAGTTGATAATAACCAGGACAAGTTCTTTTCAGAACTAAATATCTTCTCAGCAGTAGTTATTACCACATGGTGTATTACCGCAAACCGAAACGATACCGATACCCCACCATGCAAACATATAACAGGTGAGTCATTACAACAATGCTCTTGACTGTGAAGTAGGCAGCCAGAGATGATACAAAAAAAGAGAACAAAAGACTGAATCTTCCCACAAGTATTGAAAAGTCGGTCAACGGCTTTTTAAAGTCTAAATGCCCTCTATATACAGGCTTATGATGGATGTTGAATTATTCTAAAGTTAACACATTAGCTGTTTCCTTCTATATCTGTGTTAAACGCATTTTCCTTTCAAGTGACATAATTTCCATGAGACAACAAAACTCGCCATAATAATGTCCATTATAACACAACTGTTTGTGAATAGAGAAGTGAGACTTTTATTGTCAAGTTCGTGCTGAAAATTCTTATTGGACCTCACCTGGTGATTCCGTGGGATAATCTGGAAGCGTGCAATAGACGTAATAGTCTTCACAGCAATCTCCGTAGATCTCGCAGGCACCGTCACACCAGCATCCTCCCCGCGAACCGTCAAGGAAACAGAAATTACGACAACCAACTGAAAAAAGAGTGAACTAGACTGAAGCTCCAATGAAACAGGAAAGAACTTAATGACTAATTAGAAACCAGTTGGCCTACATCGTCCTACCAAGGGCCAATCCGGAACACAATTTTTTTCCGGGGGGGGGGTGGCAAAGAAAAATTTGGTCCCCCAAAAGTGGGGTCCCAAAAATTAGGGCGTGGGGCCCGGGTCCCGCTTAAGGCCACCAAATTATTTTTTGGATTGTAAAGGCTCTGTTGTGCGATCTGAGACAATTTCTTACCACTTTGATCATTTTTTTTTTAGGTAAAGGTGGTGCTGTTCGCAGTGCCTGCCTTTCATTGCGACGTCACTTAGAAAACAAAATTGGTGTTTTTTTTTGGGGGGGGGAGGCGGCATGACCCCCGTTGTCTCCCCTGGATCCGTCCTTGCGTCCCACGAGAATTCCAATGAATACCACCTATTTGGAATTCGAAGTCAAACATAAATGTATACTTTATTAAGATCTTCATGCATAAAATGAAATCTTGTAGAGTCTTATGTCTGATCTGAAAAAATGGTGAATAATTCTGAAGCAAAACACACCTAAGCTGAATTCAACATACGTAAAACTATGTGTTTACAAACGTGATCCAGTCTACTGTACTACTCCCTGTATCCCGAGTGCGATTCCGTTACCGAGCGCGCGCGATGCATCGATTATGATAATGAGTAGACTGGATCACGTTTGTAAACACATGTGCAAGGAGTCGGGAACTAGCACAGCTTTTATGGCTGATACCAGTTCAAGCTGGTTCCCGATTCCCTTTTACAGTTCGAAATGCACATGTATGTGTTTACAAACGTGACTCATTATCATAATCGATGCATCGCGCGCGCTCGGTAACGGAATCGCACTCGGGATACGGGGACCATCGAATGTACGCTGGGCATGTAAAAGAAATCGCGTCGTTCAAACATTAAACACGATCGAAAATTTAACGTGTTCAAGATCGCGAGGGGAGCTCTCCGAAATGAACGGAAAATTTCACTTTTTTCCGGATCGTAAGTAAACTTCAGTACAACCATCTTAATTATCGATGTCTACTTGTACCTCAGGTGGCATATCTAGTAATGTGGAGGCCGTTTTGCAGGTGAAATCTGATGTTTTTTGTTGGAAAATGTTGGTTTTTGGGACGGTCAATGACGGTGTTGTCCAGGTCGCGGTATTAGCTTGGACCCCACTATCGCCAGACCATGGCCAAATGTTAAAAAAGGCGATAAGTTGGGTCCAAGTTACTCGGACTACAAGTAACTAAGAACATTTTCATGCTAAATGCCAATGATGATGGTGGTGGGATTCTTACAGTAGTCCTACATTTCATTTAAGTATATTTACCGCAATCTTCTTCATCGCTTCCGTCTTCACAGTCCTGGAAACCATCACACTGCCAGAACACGGTGATGCAGACTGATTGGCCGCAGTCAAAAGTTCCAAGGGGGCATGTAGGGGCTCCTGAAAATATAACAGTGGAAGTATAAGTGGAGACACTTGTATTCGAGTCACGTACCAAACATAGAGTCCGAGTCCGAGTCACTTCTCCCGAGTCCGAGTCACGAGTCATGAGTCATGCAGGTCCAGTCCAAGTCCGAGTCACGAGTCACGAAGGTCGAGTCCGAGTTCGAGTCATGAGTCTAATTTAATATAATTGGAAATAATTTAATTTTGGTTTTTGCGGATTTAGTGCAGATATTTTGTGGAGTTTACGGGGTATGTGATTCACCAACGTTAGTCGTTATCATGTACTGGAAACTTAAACGTTTGCTATGCACCGTACCATCTTCGGCACCAGGCCGCAAATTTTTTTCCCAAACGAGATCGGACAATTTCAAAAGAGTGCGCTCTCACTACGTTATGCGTATCAATGATGTCCAGGGCTTTAGATAATAATTATTATCTAAAGCCCTGGACATCATGGATAAATAAGCTATATAACAAGGAATAATGGTGTTTAAATCACTGACGATTGGCAGGTGATTCGTGGACGTTTTAACTGCAGCTCGAGCATGTTGGTCACAGGTCCAACTTAACAAAGTTTGACAGCTACAGAAACATTTTAAAATTGCTTCCACGCAACAAAATTACTGCAATCTAAATTAAACCAATGAATCAAACATATGTCTTTTCTGTTGGCTTTGAGACGGATTACAAAAAGGGCATAGGGGTTAGACCCCACAAATTGACCTCCCCAACGACGGTGGGGGGGGGGGGGGACATGCCGCCCCCTTTTTTTTTTACTAACGTCGCAAAAAAGCCAGCCATTGCAATTGTGTACACCACCCACAAAACTCAACAAAAACAATTCATTTGCACCCCTTCCCCTTGTTTTTCATGTGAAATTAGGGGATGAAATTGTTTTGACCCGAATTTCTTTGAACTAATTTTTTTTGGCCCCTCCCCCAAAATGGTGTTCAGGATCCGACCTTGACCCCCCTCCACGAAAATGAGGTATGAATGTGGAGAAGTCAACAAAAGATTGAAAAGGTGGGATCAGAAATACAATCCCCAAGGTAGAGGGCATGGGAAGCGGGGTGCATAACAATATAACATCAACAGTGTCAGTTTGTATTGCGAAACTTATAATTATGGCAACAGAAAGTCTTTAAAAATACTAATAATAATTCACTCAGTCTGATTTATGCTGATTTATTATCTCCCTGTTTGCGACTTTTTAATGTTAGTATTTATCTTTTCAACGTCTAACCTTTAACAATTGGACCCGTTTAACAACATACCTAGCCTGAAATATTTTTTTTTCCATGGGTGGCGATCTGATAATTTTTGGGCAGGGGGCTTGCCCGGCCCCCCATAATTTATCACAGTGAGTGCGTATTTTATTCCACCAGATGTGTCTTAATGTGCATTTATTATTTGTAGTCAGAGTCATTTCTGTTAATAGTGGAAAGTCTCAGACATTGCCAGGCCGTCATTTTTGGCAAGTCAGATCTTGAATTCCCAACTTAATTTACTTGTGTACATGTATTTCAATACTTTGTCGCAGTATAGTACAGTTTTTGCATGTATAACCAGGCCTGACATCAACTGGCAAGCATTATAAATTGTTTTTTAAATGAAGTATTGAAAAAAACAAATCCACTGTTTGTGCCTGTCTTGCAAGTAGAGTAGAAAAAAAGGCAGAAAAAAATACTTTGGCCTCTATTCTGCTCGAAAAAAAAAGGCATTACAAAATAGTATCGGCATGACTCAGCATCTTTTTAAATGATAGCTCCCACGGCCGTCAAAACCCAGATCTGCGATGCTCCAAAATCTGCATTAATTTGAAGATATGATATTGGTCTATCCCTGTACCTCATTTGGTGCTATTTTCATAAAATGCACAATAGGTTTGCTACGCCACCTACTATACAGCCGATTTGAGTGATTTAGGGGTAGGGTAAGCAAAAATGGTCAATTTTTAAGATAGAAAGCTTATCTACCACTTAAATCAAAGCTTGTGGTTTTAGGCAGTTTTTTAATTTAAAGAAAGTGTGTATCGTCAGAATAAGTATAAGTTTCAAACTCATTTCTGTCCCCAAACATTGCAAAGTTACAGGATTTGGGGGTGACCTCGAAGCAATATACCCCCCAGGAACACAAATGCGGATAAACTTGGAACCAACCAAATTTGTTCTTGTTTACCCATAAGTTGTAATAAGCAAAACAAATAATCCCCCAGAATAACAATTTGTTTTGAGCCGGGAGGCAAACATAACGGCTGTGCAACTTAATAGCAGCATTTTCGGATGTCCAAGAACAATAACAATTTGTTTGGAGCTGGAAGGAAAAATACCAGCTGTGCAACTTAAGAGCAGCATTTTCGGATGTCCCAAGATTTCCTTCAACAGAAAATAATTATTTAGATTAACCATTACAATTTTGCGATTAAATAGCCTTATTCTAGGGGCTATTTATAATTGAACATTTCAATCACACTGAGCATATTTTCCGAGAAACACATTGTTGAAAAAGCTATTTGGGGAGCAAGAATTTCACTACACTGTTATACAGTTCAAGTACATATTTGGATTGACTTTGTTTAACAACGGCGACGCATAGGCCTTCGCAACCACATGGCTGGTTACATCTATTCATTTGCTAAATGGCGGAACTGAATATTTATATCAAACAGGACGATGAAGAATCTTGCATTTATTCGCGGCGGCCGTATTCTAAGCCAGCCAATCAGTAATTGTTGATTCTAAGCATGGGCGTCGCGAAGGGGGGGGGGGGGGGGGGGGCAAGGGGGGGCACTTGCCCCCCCCCCCCTGGAAAAGCAACAAACAAAAAACAAAAAACAAGGAAGAAAAAAAAGAAAAGGAAAAAAAAGAAAAAGAGGCGCGAAGACAAAGTGGTGTAAATTTAATGAGTGGGGGGGGGGGGGGCAAAATATCCCCGCCCCCTCTAAAACTGATAAATCGAGAATGTGTTGAGAAATACAAGCATTTTTTGGAAAATTTGTTTTTGGCCCCCCTCTAGAAAAAATCCTGGCGACGCCCATGATTCTAAGGCAACCAATCAGCGTATGGGGTTGCCGCCAAATTGCTCGGTTAACACGTAGTCAGGAGTGTGTGTAATTTGTACACCGTTCTGATTTCTGTGCATTCTTTGTCACGGCTTCAAAAGACTTCCATCCTTCTCCCCTACTTTGCTCTCCGTGTAATGGGTTTCAACTGCTTCGGTGCATAGAGAGGAGGCATTTTTCTTTTTGGGACATGGGATTAGGTATTAACTTCAATAGGTTAGGACATTTCGCGTAAATGTTCCTCTAACGTGCTAGATGTCATGGTGTAAAGCGCCGTGATCACAGCCTATTCCCTACCATACTTGAAAGTTGAGCCTTATTGCAAACATGTATAATGCGTAACAAATAGCCCTTGACTATCCACACGATGATCCAACTACGGAACAATTGATTGTTTTTGCTTTTACTATTCTACGAAAGTTTTCCTGAACTGCTAATTTGCTGACCTTTATCGTCTATGGTTTTACTGAAGTGATTCCAAATAAGTAGATAAGATATACAGAGTGGCAATTCATGTTGATTTTTGTGTGTGTTGATTGTGGTAATTAGTATCATATAGTGGTCATTGTTATCATCACTGAGTCTTTGTCGAGTTATTATGGTGGTCAGCCCAGAGGTACCGCGAGTACCGGTCACGAGTACCGCCTCATGCCTCCAGTTTACTCTACTTTTTGGTCTTCCTGTTAATTTCCTTGAATTAAACTTGAAGATGTGGCACACACACAGTCGTGTCCACACATATATAATAGTGAAGACCCATTATTGTTCCCTTCTTTTGTTCGCTTTGTTTGTACATTTTTCTCTTTTTCTCGACAGCTCCCATAAGGCTTGTACACGAAATTCTTCCAAAGTCTCGGCTCAGGTCCTGGGGACATTGTCATCACTAATCCCCTATTGTCCTAAATCCTCAGGTGTATAGGTTAACCTTACCCTCCCATACAAACATGCACCCTAGCACGTTTGTTTATGGTGTAAATCGAGGACTTTCTCCTGTTCCTCTTCCCTTTTCCTTTGTTTGTACTTTTTTCGCAACTGCTCTAATTGGTTTGAACGCACCCAGACCCACACGTGTGTATTTACCTTCACCTGTAGACCCCCTATTGCCCCTCTTTGGCTTGTTATGTTCTTTAACTTTTTAGGAATACCTCCCACATGTTTTGTACACGATCGTTAATTGTGGACCTTCGGGAATTGGTGACCCTGTTGTCCTTTGTAACCCTTATTTTGTTTTTTCTTTGTTCCTAATGAAACCTCAAACACTAGCGTTTCCCAGGCTCATGGGGTAGATTTATTTCTAAAGATTTCCCCTCGGTATTGGAAGTTGACAAACTAGTTCCCTTGGCTTCGCCTTGGGAACAAGTTTGTCAACTTCCAATACCTCGGGGAGCGAATATCGACTGTCCAACCTCAAACCATGTTATATTTGTATATTACTATACCTCATAAATATTCATCAGGCAACCGCGGCATTTTATTGGTCCATTCCAGCAACTTCACCGTGTGCAAGATTGTACTATTTCCCCGCGTCTTCGTACGCGCGCGTGACGCATAAAAAACAGGGAGGTACTATCACACACTTGGGTTGCAGCCTTAGATTTGTTCCAGTACTGCGTTATCTCTTTACCAACGACGCATACGCTTTACGTGTGTACCGTGGAGATCACCAGTGAGGACAGTTGCATGTGCCAGTCTATTACAGCATACATCAAAATGGTGACTGGTGGTGCTTGCTTTGCGATTTTAACCGAGGAGGAACTGGGTGAAATTTTACACATTATAATAAATGCAGTGTTTTGTGTAAATGTTAAATTTATTAAATTACACAACATAAACTCTCTATTCTGTTTGTCTTCTTAAATTAAAATAATGTTTCACTTTATTCAAATACTGCATGATCAAAAATATGGTGGAATGGACCAATGAAATGCCGCAGCTGCCTGATGAATATTTATGAGGTATAGTAAAACAAGTTCAACATGTTTTTGCGAAGAAATAGTAAAACAAATGATCCCTCGGTGTTGGATGATTGGGTTTTGGATGATTATCCAACACCTCGGGATCATTAGTTTACACTATTTCCACACAGACCATGTTGTATTTGCATATTGTTGCATTGTGTTTTCAATCCCATAATGAACCCTGTACATGTTCACCCCATTGTGTATAAAACACCTTCAATCGTGGACCCCCATTATCCCTCTTTTGTTCTTACTTTTTAGGAAGGCCTCCCATATGTTTTGTACACAATCCTCCATTGTTGACCTTCGGAAATTGTGGACTGTAATTTGTCTGTTGTTGTTCAACTTCCCCTATCGAATGCATAAACAAACGCACACATACAAACTTTGGTCTCTGTTTACTCCTATTTAAAATATTTATGGGTCATTCCACGAAGTTGAGATACAAAGTATGACATTGGGGTCAAATTTTCAGATTGCTTGTACAAGTTTTGTTTATGCATTTTTCGATAGCCCATACATACAGCCCATACATTCAAATTTAAATCATATGATTTTGGAAAGTTGGTAAATTTGTACACAATAAATATTAACATGTAATGACTATGGGAAAGTTGTGGATGTAACTAGAAGCAACGTCCTGTTACATCCAAACCTTGTTTTGTTCATAATTAATACTTCAAAATGCTTCAAATTCACACCAAACTTGAGTTCATCATCAAATAGCTTCATTCAAAAATGTCTATACTTATATCCTTTTAAAGACTGCTAAAATTGTTATTTCCAACCACAGCAAAAAAATACTGGTTGCGGATGAAACATGTGGAAAACCACTACATCACAATGCGGTATTCTTCGCCTCGATATGAATGGAACTAAATGTTGTTTGTGTTTGCAAATGTTGTCCCCAAATCTTTATTTCAAGGGCAATTGCAGATTGCAGGTCATGATTTTCATACTTATTTTAGGCATAACCATGTCAATCGGTTGTGGATGTAACATGGACACCATGTGCCAACAGGCATAAAATTTTCCTCATATTTGGCTTAAACATTTATTTGCATAGAGTACGATCACATTATTTTACAAATACCAGTTCAATCATGAAATATTGGGTCAATCCTAAATTGTTGCACAAGCCAGTTGTGGATGTAACATAATACGAAACAAGGGAATCCATATGTTACATCAACAACCCAATTTAATTTGTGCAAGCCATTTTGGCAAAACAGTTTAACATCTGATATTTACATGGTACATCTTCTCGCTATAATTTGTGTACAACTTCAACTCCAGTCCACTTGTTTTCTTTTCAAAATGAGTTATTTTTGAACTGAAAGTTTCTTTGTCACACTTTTTCCTCATGTTTTATGCCGGACACGATAACATTTACAGAATTCGGGTATAAAAGTTATTTTTGAATATCATCGAGCGTGGTATCATTTAAAAGATTATCTTACCCTTATTGTCAAATGATATTTGTTTTAAATATGTATATATATATATATATATATATATATATATATATATATATATATATATATATATATATATATATATATATGTTTTTAGAGAGGCCTGATAATATTTCGTCTTAGAGCAAATACTTTTTCAAAGGCAATGACAGTGGAACTAGAAACAAACATTTAGGAGACACACAAGCAAGCAGGGTTGGGGGTATCTGGGGGTGGCAGACCAGTACAGGTGAGATGAAAGGGGATATTAAGGGAACAAAGGATGGTAGAGAAAGGGGTTTTGAAGGAAAGAATGATGCAGGGGGATAAAGGAGAGCAGTGCATGAATGTGGTATTGTTGTGAAAGGGGATGATAAAAGGACGGGATGGGGTGGGGCAGGGGGAGACAGGTGGAAATGGAAATGGTAAAAAAAGGGCTGGGCAATTAATATGGTAATGGTGTATAAAAGGGGATGGGGTATAGTGGGGGCAGGTTTTACTTTTATTGGGTTTGGATTATAATTCACGATTGAAAGTTTTAACTTTCAATTGTGAATTATAGTAATTTTAAAATTACTTGCTTTTGCTAATCAGGATATAGGAAGGTTTTCCTCCCACGGGTTACTATTGGAAACGAGGTTGAAATTAAAATAGATCCTGAGGTTGTGTCTTAATTCAGACTAATTGTCTGATTTATTGATTGACTTGTGGTGAACTGGTGAGGATCTGGCTACAACTACTATTAATTTTAAATCAATATTAGGCTTTGGCCTTCACCGATGTATAAACTCTGTATATTCGTTATGTGATCTCGAGTGAGACTCGAACCCACGACATCATGCTTTCTAGTACCGACGTCTTACCAGTCGACCACCGAGCTAACGGGATCGGTTGGAATTTTTAATGTTTATACGTCGGTGAAGGGCAAAACCTGATATTGATTTACGTCACCCCGACGCAAACATTCCATCTCTTAAACACAATTAATTTGTGAATCGGTGCGACGTCCACGAAAAGATGACATTTTGAATGTCTTGTCTTCAACCTCGTCGCCAGGGTATCGAAGCCGTACAAAGAACACTCGAACTTTCTCGTTGATGGATGAGGGACGAGGTTGCCTGTACTCCTATTGCAAAATGATTATCGCCAAAAACAGTTTTCTAACACCTGTTGCATTAAAACAATAGCACAAAAGCTAGGACAAACCAACCTGTTGTAGTTGCATCACCACCTGCTGCTGCTGTAGTTGCATCACCACCTGCTGCTGATGTCGTTGCCTCACCACCTGCTGCTGCCGTGGTGGCGTCAACACCTGCTGCTGCTGTTGTTGCATCACCACCTGCTGCTCCTGTCGTTGCATCACCACCTGCTGCTGCTGTTGTTGCATCACCACCTGCTGCTGCTGTTGTTGCATCACCACCTGCTGCTGCTGTTGTTGCATCACCACCTGCTGCTGCTGTTGTTGCATCACCACCTGCTGCTACTGTTGTTGCATCACCACCCGCTGCTGCTGTCGTTGCATTATCACCTGCTACTGCCGTTGTGGTGTCATCACCTGCTGCTGCTGTTGTTGCATCACCACCTGCTGCTGCTGTTGTTGCATCACCACCTGCTGCTGCTGTTGTTGCATCAACACCTGCTGCTGCTGTTGTTGCATCACCACCTGCTGCTGCTGTCGTTGCACCATAACCTGCTGCTGTGGTGGCCTCACTACCTGATGCTGGTGTTGTTGCCTCACTACCTGCTGCTGTTGTGGTGGCGTCACCACCTGCTGCTGCCGTAGTTGGCTCACCACCTGCTGATAATGTTGTAGCATCAGTACCTTCTGTTGCCGTAAATGCCTCACCACCTGCTGTTGCTGTGGTGGCATCACCACCTGTTTCTGTTGATGGCACTGTTGTCGAATTTGGTGCATGGGTAGGTTGTGTACTTTCTGTAAGAAATGGTGTGAGATATCCATGAAACAGGAACTTTTTAACAACTAAAATTCACTCAAACGAGTCACGAAGGTCGAGTCCGATACGAGTGATTGACCTGTGTAGTATATGTGGTGAACTTGTGGTGTACTGGTAGTTTACTTGTGAGGACTGGCTACCACTACCATGACATTTGATAAAAAAACATATTTTTCAATTCTTCTTTCCCGGCCAGTCAGTAAGAAGTCCACGACGAGATGACAGTTTAAGTAAACGAGGTTGCCTTTACTGAAATCGGTAAAAAGAAATATCGCATTTACCTAAAGAACAATTTTCTAAAACCTGATGCATTAACAACTAGCAGTTGCAGGTGGTGACACATTCAAACAATTTCGGTATTACTGGAATGGCACTGAAATGGTCTACATCGTATCTTGAGAACCGAGTCCAGTCTGTAAAAGTTGACAGGTCCTTCTCATCTAACACAACACTACGCTTTGGTGTCCCTCAGGGATCAGTGCTTGGTCCCTTGTGGTTTTCCCTTTACTCCTTACATGTGGCCAACATTGCGAGAAAACACGGTTTGTCGGTTCAGCTTTATACTGATGACATCAAGCTCTACTTGCCTTTCGTCTCAGTGAATGCAAATATTGCGGTTGCGGCAAGGACCATGTTATGAAAAAGTAGAAGATTGGGTATAGCAATACGCCTAATCACGAAGACCATACCAGACGCGAACCAACGTCTTCAGTTTTGTACGTACACAAGATTGAGATTGATAAATAGTTCCAGATAACCAGCTCAAACACGCTCCCAAACACCCTTTCTGAGCACGATTGCTATATTTACAACCTGAAGCGCGAAGATGCGTGGAATGACGATTTCCATCGGTTTCAGAAGAAATACTCAAAACTCGTAGCATTGTGCACATTGCCTTTAATCGAAACCTTTAACATACGTGTACTTTAAAATGAAAATATATTGGCTGATTCAGGACTGTTACGAATAAACTAATGCATATTAAAGAAAAGACACGTTTGTTACTTAACCTATACGATAGGTGAAAATCGGAGAATGATTTCAGAAAAGGTGAAATTACCTGTGGACATGGTTTGTGATTGTACAGTGCCAACGGCAAAAATATACATTGCAGCGAAGAAAAGCAGTAGTCTACATTTCACCTCTGGACACATCTTGTTAGCTTGAAATTGTCCCCGAAAACAAATCAACTTTTGGAACCGAGCAGTGGCGATTGGATTTGTGTCAATGTGGTAGTCTGATGTGACTCCAGGCCTATGTGAGTGGGCGTAAACAGCAAGCGCGTTATTTACTTGTTTCAGGGTTTGCTGAGCAACAAAGTCTATTAACCGACACCCAAAGTCTAACCGTATAGGGCCTCAAACGCAACAAAAAATGGTTGCAAGGAAATGTCAACAATGTTTGCTTGTGGAAAGGCTCCTTGAGAAGATAAACCCCCAAGTTATGCATTAATATACATATATCTATAGACTGTTTATTTAGCTGAGTATGGTATAAAAAAACTACAGTATGGAAGTCGCAAAGGTTAGATTGCCTAATTCGCATAACCTATGGAATGTACCATAGCAACTGGATATCGATAGTAAACAGTTAGCAATCTCTGCACTCTGTACGGATCGACCAAACTCCATCCTCGTCAGGCTACGTCTATTAGGGCGCCCCTTTTTATTTTTATAATAACTGCCATTTTTTTGCCTCTGTAGAAGGGTCGGTAGTTCGAAAAAAATCTGGAAAAAATTCAGTTTCACCGGTAAGGATGGCTCAATTCAATGATGCAAAGTGCGTCTCTACTTTTGTTTATTTCAATGAGTTTATCATGTCTTATCACTGCATAAAATAAAACCATATTTGGGAAGATTTAGCCTAGTTGATTTGAAATATATCTGCCCCAAGTAGATCACTTACGTTTTGGATGTAGTGGCAGCCATGACCAGTAAATGTATACTATATACACTTACCATAATGAGAAGAAACATCCTCTGTGTATAATGTGGGTGTTTTTAGCTGATTAATGTGTAGTGTTATCTGGAATTTGATTTATTTATTGTTTTAGAGTGTGTACAACTGGGGTATTTTCAGCTGATTAATGCTGATTAATGCATTGTGCCTCATTGGCGTTTATTCTTTTTTTTCTTAAAAAAAGTATTTGTTTTTTTTTATTAATGTTTTGTAATGTACAGGTTTTTAAGGTTTCTGAGAATTTTTGATCATATTAATGATAATTGATCAGATTTTCATTGTAATCCTTTGTTGGTTTTCGTTACCTTTGATAGGGATTTATAGTGTAGCACCTCAGAACATTTCATTTTTGATTAAAGGGAATGTACGTCATTGGCTTTTGCTGTAATTTTCAGAAATTAACTATTTGAAGGGTTAGTATTATAGATCAAATATTGTTACCCTGACATGTTTGAAATTTTGTGTTTCGAAAATGCTTGACAAACCAAGAAAAACAAAAAATGTTTAAGTAGTCAGGCTCCCTGACTCCACTAAAGATAAAATGGATAGTTGTCGGAAAATTGTAAGGTAAGGGAACCAGTCTAGCTGGCCTGCACCCGTTCATGAACATGTAACCAATAGCAAACAAAATTTGGACTGAAAAAAGTTGTAAATTTGGAGCAGTAGTTGAAAAATAGTTAGGTTTTTCCAACGGTGGTCGGCCGACCACTGTTGGAAATGTATACAAAAATACAATTTCCTTGAAAATGACTTGACACCAGGTGCCATAATTTTACAGGATGCTTTAGACTGTCGTTTACCAACATCCTAGTAAGGTATTTCGTAAAAACTTGGTAGTTTTATTTTTCGATGTTTGCAAATGTTGTATATTCCCTTTAAGGTGCGTTGTAATTATTATTTGTATTATTATACAACTAAATGGTACCTTTGGGAGATGTGACATTTAGAAATGAAAAAATATAGATCGAATGTGAAATTGTATAACATGCATTTGAGAAAAACTCAAATGTCAATCGTGGGGGAAAAAGTGCCCCTGCGGACGTTCTGGGATCGTCCGACCCCAGAACCCCTACTGGCCTGAACTGACGTCAGCTTTTCGGGAAGAAAAATGCATATGTAATATCTACGGACGGGTGTACACGATTATATTTTAGTTTTACATGTGACCGTAAATTGTCAAGTCATACAAAGTCTTCCCTTTAAAGGAAGGGATAAGAGTACAACAACTCTCAGTTTCACAGTTGCAGAAATAACCCAAAGAAAAATGACAAACAAATACTCTGTCGATGTTTGTGTCTGTGAATCTTGAATTGTGGCGCCTAAGAAAAGTAATATGTAGTAAGTCAGGGTCGATATAATCATTGTTATTATTGTAGGTTAATCACATGTGGAAATAGGAGTGGAAAAAAGAGGTAATAGTTTGCGACAAAGCTTACCTGGATTTGTCGTCAGCAGTGGATCACCAGTTGTCCATTGCTGTCCATCTGTTTCGAAAATGAGAGAGAGGCAATTATGCACAATTAACTACTCGCTTTACGAAGTCAAGCAAATATCTCACTTCGGTAGATGCATGCATATATTGGCATATATTAATTGCACAGAGTCTCTGTAACCGAACTTTTGAAATGTCATTCCCGTTCTTGAAATATACTTTAGAGATGGACCATTATTAATTTTGGCAGATTTGATGATCGAAATTTGATTTCGGACTTTTTTTTAATTAAAGAACCAATTTGTGACTCTTGAGTAATGGATCCAGTACGTGACACTATGGGAAAAGAAATTACAACAGGCAGATTGGGATAGGTGGTAAAAAGATGCCAAAGACTAAAAAGATTGAGAAAAAAATGAGGTAATAAACAGCACACAAGGCCTATGAAATCGTGTAGGTCTGTAAAATCACGCATAATTACCGCAGAACACTTCATCGCTTCCATCGTAGCAATCCGACTCATAATCGCACCGCCAGGAGCCATTGATACACACTGAATGTCCGCAGTCAAACTCACTCGCAGTACAAGTCACATTTTCTGATGAAAAAATAACATTTTAGTTCTGATCAATTGCCATCAAGAATTCGTCAACGTTAACTTTAGTTAGCTTTAAAGGCTTTCAGAAGAAAGACAACGAATTTGTCTTTATTAAATCAGTGATCGTTCAGTGTTTTTTTTAGCCGACTGAAGATTTAGTGACATTTTATCACCACTCAAATAAAGCATTCACCAAAAATTCACAAGTGGTCACGAGTGATATGCGCGTCGCCGCGTGTGGATCAATTCTTACCAGCCGATGGGATGCTTGAAGCAGACAACACAAATCCAGATGGCGTTGAACTCCAATAGGACGTGAATCTCAACCAGATCTGATTTGCATGAGAGATCAGATCGGGAGGTTTCTTCCACCTTCGCCACTCGAAGAACTGGTTGCTGTAAATGTTGTCACCATCACCCGCCAAAAAGTAGGCGGAGTATTCATCAGCTTCGAAACTGGAAAAGGTGATGTAGATTTTCTGGTTCTCCTCCGCGTGGAGGATCCAATTCTTGTCGATGTAATCTGAATAGTTGCCGGGATAGTTTGGCGAAGATATCTCCAGGGTGTCGCTTGCATTGATGTACAATACAACAGTATCTGTGAAGGAAGGTCGGTTGGTATCAGAGCGGATTAAAGAGTTTTTAAAAAAAATGTTTGAGCTTTAAAACGGTGTCGAGTACGTTTGTCTTCAGAAAGGATATGTTGATTGTCCAGCTTTGTTCCTCCCGTGATTGGTAATTAGCCTATTACGGAACACCTTTGCAGATGCTTATGCTGATTATATACATTAAGATCAGGCATTATTCGTAAAAGAAAAAGAAATACCGAAATATAAGAGCTTAAATGTTTTTTTTCTTCGCACTGGTGTCATGTCCCAAAATTAACTGCATTTCTTTATTATCCGCTGTATCGGTCATGTGGCAAGCGATGGTATACGCATATACTGAGACGTGAGCATATTCGATCTTTTAAAAGCAATGATATGTTGAAAAGTTTTCTGCAAAAATAGTTTCTAAACAAGTCAAATGTGACTGTTCCCATGACATAACACCACTTTTTTTAATACCAACTTGTACGTGTACTTGGGTCATATGGAACGTTCATTGACATCATTTTTGTTGTCAGTAGGTTTTATATGAATTAATGAATCCCCTTGATCTCAGAAAAAGTACAAGATTTCTGTTGTTTTAGCCACTGTGACATTGACCATTGACCTTTCAGTCCCAAATGCAATAAGTTTCTTAGGATTACCATGAACAATCCACGAACCAAATTTGAAGTTCACATTAAAAGTATTTCTCAAGTTAGCGCGCTGACACGATTCTATTGTTTTAGCCACTGTGCCCTTGACCCTTAACCTTTCGGTCCAAATGCAATAGGCTTCTTAGGATTACAAAGAATAGCCCACAAACCAAATTTGAAGTTCATATGTTAAGTATTTTCAAGTTATCGTGCTGACAAAAGGAAAAGTGTGAGGACAAGTAAAGGTGAAAAGTGTGAGGACCTGGGACCTTTTAGGGTGTAGGAGTGAATATTTACCAGTATTATACCCCGTTGGTGCCACACTCGTCCACATCTGCCCACCTATTGAACACAATAAGAAAAAAGTCGTAAATCAAATATATTGTTACGTGTTTGGTTTGTCGTCAGTTGCCTATAACTCTATTTTCTAAACAAAACCATTCTCCGTTTTAAGGCCAGTATCGTATGATGGCTTCATTCCTTTAACGCCCAATAAGGAAACCTCTCAATTTCGACTGTAATTCAACAAATTCAGGATTAATAGTTTCATATTTAACACATAACCGATTACTTTAATAGTGCACAAAATTGAAGTTTATACAAGTGTGTGACAAAATATCATGCATAATTACCGCAACTGAGTTCATCGCTTCCACCGTAGCAGTCCCATTGATAATCACATCGCCAGGAGCCATTGATACACACTGAATGTCCGCAGTCAAACTCACTCGCAGCACAAGTCAAATTTTCTGATACAAAAAAGGTAAAAGGACGATACATTTAGTTCTGATCATTTTTAATGCAAACATCCTCTGCACATTTTTTTTTGTCACGAATTAGTCAACGGAGTTTAATTATGGGCTATCCCAAAACAACGAAGCCATCTGTTAAATCGGGCTTCATCTAGTGCATATTACAGGCCCATAACATAAACAAAACACATGTGCAAACCTATTAAACAATAGAAAAGTCGTCAACAAAATATGATTCTAGGGTGATTGCTTTGTTATCAGTTGCGTAACTCAATTTTCTGAACTAAACTCTTTGGTGCATTTAAAACCAGCGTCGTCTGATGGCTTCATTGCTTTAACGCCTAAAGAAATATTTCCATCTTTACTGCACTTCAGTTAATTCAGTAAAGTTTGATTTGATAGACTACGCAATAGAGGATAGCATTTTGTTTCGAAATTGAAATAACAAGGAGATGACAACCAAATCCAAGCTGGCCAGGATTGACAAAAGTGTAATAAAACACTGTGACTCGAAAGCCTGTCCATCCTTCAGTTCAGATCACTTTTATACTGCAAACATCCTCTGACGTGTTTTCTCAACAATTTGTCAACAAGTTAATTAATTGGCCATTACAAGACAAATGGTCACAAGTCAAATTGATCACAAATGGTCACGAGTGACCGGCTTGTGGATCAATTCTTACCAGTCGATGGGATGCTTGTAGCAGATAACACAAATCTAGACGGCACTGAACTCCAATAGGACGTGAATCTCAACCAGATCTGATTTGCATGAGAGATCAGATCGGGAGGTTCATTCCACCTGCTGTAGCTGTGCCACTCGAAGAACTGGTTGCTGTATAGGTTGGCACCATCACCCGCCGAAAAGTAGGCGTAGTATTCATCAGCTTCAAAACTGGAGAAGGTGATGTAGATTTTCTGGTTCTCCTCCGCGTGGAGGATCCAAGTCTTGTCGATGTCATCTGAACTATTGCTTGGATAGTTTGGTGAAGATATCTCGAGGGTGTCGCTTACATTGATGTACAATACAGTGGTATCTGTGACAGTAAGCCAGTCGATGAAAGCTATTTAAAAGTTGTTAGAAATCTTTAGGTTTAAAACGGTGTCGGGTAGTTTAAGGTTGGAAATTCACAGAATTAAAACAACTTTGCAACTACTTATTGGGTTGACCCCAAGCTCAGTCATAATGTGAAATTTGGAACTATAAGCAATAGTTCGTTTTAGCGAAGGTGTCGGATCCTCATAGTAACTTCCATCTGTATCGGCCAAAATCTAATCAACTTAAAAGATATTTGTCAAACGTACATGTGCCAAACCGATATGTGAACTTAATCTTTCTTTAATAATCAATATTGTTGTGAAATTTTCATTACGCAAGAGCAATTGTGGAGTCAATTTTTACCGGGATTATACCCGGTGTCTTGACGGTGATCCACGTTTGAAAACAATTAATACAAGTCGGAACGTTACATCTATTGTTGTGTTGATTGTTTTCTGGTTGGTACCGTTACTCAATTTTTAAGATGCGAATAATTATTATGTATCCAAGGCTAGAGTCGACTGATGGATTCATTTTTTACACACCTAAAGAAATATCTTCATCTTCACTGCTATTCAATCAATCAGGAAAATTGAATGTGATTGACAGCAGAACGCCGATGACATTTTATCAACAAAATTAAGGTTATTGCCACGATGTGACAAAAAAGTTGTGGATTATAAAGATAATATCATTCATAAATAATTACCACAACTGAATTCATCGCTTCCATCGTAGCAGTCATATATTTTGTCACAGCGCCAGGAGCCATTGATGCACACAGAATGTCCGCAATCGAACTTACTCGCAGCACAAGTCAAATTTTCTGATAAAAAAACGAAAGAAACCAATACATTGTAATTAAGTGTTACCACAAACGTCCTCGGCAGTTTGTTTTCAAAAATAGTCAACGCATCATGGATATCAAAATACAACGAAAATTGTTTAGGCTTTATCTTATGTATATTGTTGGCCCACTTAAGATTTCGTTAAATTTCGTGACAACAACGTGAAAGCAGAAAGTTATTGATCACGAGTTGTTGTGAGTGACCGGCTTATAGATCAATTCTTACCAGTCGCTGGGATGCTTGAAGCAGATAACACAAATCCAGATGTCGCTGGAATTGAATAGGACGTGAATCTCAACCAAATCTGATTTCCAGCCGAGATCAGATCGGGAGGTTCTTTCGACCTGTACCAATTGAAGAACTGGTTGCTGTAAATGTTGTCACCATCACCCGCCGAAAAGTAGGCGGAGTATTCATCAGCTTCGAAACTGGAAAAGGTGATGTAGATTTTCTGGTTCTCCTCCGCGTGGAGGATCCAATTCTTGTCGATGTAATCTGAATAGTTGCCGGGATAGTTTGGCGAAGATATCTCGAGGGTGTCGCTTGCATTGATGTACAATACAACAGTATCTGTGAAGGAAGGTCGGTTGCTATCAGAGCGGATTAAGGAGTTGGTGAAAATGTTTGAGCTTTAAAACGATGTCGGGTACGTTCAGGAAAGGATATGTTGATTGTCCAGCTTTGTTCCTCACTTGATTAGTAATTCATCAATTACGAAACACCTTTGCAGATGCTTTTGCGGATTATATATTAAGCTCAGCCATTATTCGTCAAACACACAGAAATACCAAAATAGTTGCAATATAATTTTTTTTCGCAATGCCTTAGATCCCGAACTGAACTACATTTCTTTATAATCCGCCGTATCGGTCGTATTATAATCAAATTTAAACTATGGCATACGCATACTGAGACGGGAGCATATCTGTTCTTTTAAATATGTATATGTTGGAAAGTTTGCTGCGACCGGAACGAAATTAAAAAAAAAAACCCGTTAAGATTTGACCCAGAATTGGCTTGACACGATTCAGGGTCAAAATCGACACTTCTCTGGGTCACAATGACACTATTGGCAGGTGATTCTTGGTCAACTTTGACAAAAATAATGAGTCGGAGAAGTGTCACTCAGACCCCCAAAAGTGTCAGTTTTGACCCTGAAAAGTGTGAGGTCAAGTAGAACTCTTATTTCGGGTCAATGTGACCCGTGACTTTTAATTAGTATAGGAGTGAATATTTACCAGTATTATACCCCGGTGGTGCCACGGTCGTCAGCGTCTGCCCACCTGTTAAAAACAATTAAAAAAAAGTCGCAAATCAAATCTGTTGTTGTGTGATTGGAATGTTGTCAGTTGCTTACTTCAATTTTCTAGACGAAACCATTTTGTGTGTTAAGGGCAGCGTCGTCGGATGGTTTATTTCCTAAGGAAATATCTTTATTTCTACTGTAATTCAATAAATTCAGGATTAATAGTTTCGATAGGCAACACATAACCGATGACTTAGTGTCATAAAATTGATATAAATACAAGTATGTGACAAAAATATCATGCATAATTACCGCAACCGAGTTCATCGCTTCCACCGTAGCAGTCCCATTGATAATCACATCGCCAGGAGCCATTGATACACACTGAATGTCCGCAGTCAAACTCACTGGCAGCACAGGTCAAATTTTCTAATACAAAAAAAAAGGAAAAAGGACGACACGTTTAGTTCTGATCACTTTAAATGCAAACATCTTCTGCATTTTTTGTCATGAATTAGTCAACGAGTTAAATTACAGGTTATCACAAAACAACGAAACCATTTGTTAAATCGGGCTTCATCAATTGCATATAACAGACCCATAACATAAAATAAAAGCACGTTTGGCCAACCCATTAAACAATAGAAAACTCGTAAGTAAAATATGTTGCTAGATGAGTGTTTTGTTATAAGTTGCGTTACTCAATTTTCTCGACAAAACCATGTTGTATTTAAAACCAGCGTCGTCTGATGGCTTCATTACTTTAACGCCTAAAGAAATGTCTCCATTTTTACTTACTGCACCTCAATAAAACCAGGAACGTTCAATTTGATAGACTACACAACAAAGGATTACATTTTGTTTCAAAAGAAAAATTACAACCCAATTCAAGCTGATCAAATTAGTTGTTTTTGCCCTTCACCGACGCTTAAACACTGTATACTCAGTGCGTTACCACCCGAGTGGAAGTTGGAAAAATCACTCGGGTTGGACTCGAACCCACGACCTCCCTATTTCTAGTGAAGATGTCTTACCACTCGAGCACCTAGCTAACGGAATCGGTTGGTTGGTTCGAATCTGATGTACATAGCAGCGGGTACCGCATAAACTATTATGAGAAGGAATTTTGCGTCGGGGTGATATCAATCAAATCAGGGTTTTTTTTGCCCTTCACCGACGTTGAAACACTATATACTCAGTGTGTTACCTCTCGAGTGAAAGTTGGAAAAATATCACTCGGGTGGGACTCGAACCCACGACCTCCTGCTTTCTAGTGCAGATGTCTTACCACTCGACCACCGAGTTACCGAGATCGGTTGGCTGGTTCGAATCTGATGTAAATAGCAGCGGGTACCGCTTATATTATCTTATAATAGATTATGCGGTATCCGCTGTGTTGTACATCAGATTCGAACAGCCAACCGATCCCCTTAGCTCGGTGCTCGAGTGATATGACATCGGCACTAGAAAGCAGGAGGTTGTGGGTTCGAGTCCCACCAAGTGATTTTTTTCCAACTTTCACTCGGGAGGTAACACACTGAGTATATATTGTTTTAATGTCGGTGACGGGCAAAAAACCTAATTTGGTTGATATCACCCAAACGAAGTTTAGTTCATTGGCTACCACAGGACAACGAACACATTTTTAAATTAGACTTGATGACAACGAAAACATTTTAAAATTGGACTTCATGAAGAGCATTTTATAGGCCCGCTGTCAATAAATGCAGTGACATGTTGTGACTACAAATAAGGCAGGCTTATGGGTCAATTCTTACCAGTCGATGGTATGCTTGTAGCAGATAACACAAATCTAGATGGCGCTGAACTCCAATAGGACGTGAATCTCAACCAGATCTGATTTGCATGAGAGATCAGATCGGGAGGTTCATTCCACCTGCTGTAGCTGTGCCACTCGAAGAACTGGTTGCTGGATAGGTTGGCACCATCACCCGCCGAAAAGTAGGCGGAGTATTCATCAGCTTCAAAACTGGAGAAGGTGATGTAGATTTTCTGGTTCTCCTCCGCGTGGAGGATCCAAGTCTTGTCGATGTCATCTGAACTATTGCTTGGATAGTTTGGCGAAGATATCTCGAGGGTGTCGCTTGCATTGATGTACAATACAACAGTATCTGTGAAGGAAGGTCGGTTGGTATCAGAGCGGATTAAATAGTTGTTGAAAATGTTTGAGCTTTAAAACGATGTCGGGTACGTTCAGGAAAGGATATGTTGATTGTCCAGCTTTGTTCCTCACTTGATTAGTAATTCACCAATTACGAAACACCTTTACAGATGCTTATGCAGATTATACATTAAGCTCAGCCATTATTCGTCAAACATACAGAAATACCAAAATAGTTGCAATTAAATTTTTGTTGGCAATGCCTTAGATCCCCAACTGAACTACATTTCTTTATTATCCGCCGTATCGGTCGTATTATAATCAAATTTAAAATATGTGGCAAACTATGGCATACGCATACTGAGACGAGAGCATATCTGATCTTTTAAATATATATATGTTGGAAAGTTTGCTGCGACCGGAACGAAATTTCTAAAAACAAAGCCCCGGTTAAGATTTGACCCAGAATTGGCCTGACACGATTCAGGGTCAAAATCGACACATCTCTGGGTCACAATGACACTATTGGCAGGTGATTCTTGGTCAACTTTGACAAAGATAATGAGTCGGAGAAGTGTCACTCAGACCCCCAAAAGTGTCAGTTTTGACCCTGAAAAGTGTGAGGTCAAGTAGAACTCTTATTTTGGGTCAATGTGACCCGGGACTTTTAATTAGTATAGGAGTTAATATTTACCAGTATTATACCCCGGTGGTGCCACGGTCGTCAGCGTCTGCCCACCTATTAAAAACAATTTAAAAAAAGTCGCAAATCAAATCTGTTGTTGCGTGATTGGAATGTTGTCAGTTGCTTACTTCAATTTTCTAGACACGACCATTTTGTGTTTTAAGGCCATCGTCGTCGGATTGTTTATTTCTTCAACACCTAAGGAAATATCTCTATTTTTACTGTACTTCAATAAATTCACGATTAATAGTTTTGATAGGCAACACATAATCGATGACTTAGTGTCATAAAATTGATATTAATACAAGTATGTGACAAAATTATCATGCATAATTACCGCAACTGAGTTCATCGCTTCCACCGTAGCAGTCCCACTGATAATCACATCGCCAGGAGCCATTGATACACACTGAATGTCCGCAGTCAAACTCACTGGCAGCACAGGTCAAATTTTCTAATACAAAAAAAAAGGAAAAAGGACGACACGTTTAGTTCTGATCACTTTAAATGCAAACATCTTCTGCATTTTTTGTCATGAATTAGTCAACGAGTTAAATTACAGGTTATCACAAAACAACGAAACCATTTGTTAAATCGGGCTTCATCAATTGCATATAACAGACCCATAACATAAAATAAAAGCACGTTTGGCCAACCCATTAAACAATAGAAAACTCGTAAGTAAAATATGTTGCTAGATGAGTGTTTTGTTATAAGTTGCGTTACTCAATTTTCTCGACAAAACCATGTTGTATTTAAAACCAGCGTCGTCTGATGGCTTCATTACTTTAACGCCTAAAGAAATGTCTCCATTTTTACTTACTGCACCTCAATAAAACCAGGAACGTTCAATTTGATAGACTACACAACAAAGGATTACATTTTGTTTCAAAAGAAAAATTACAACCCAATTCAAGCTGATCAAATTAGTTGTTTTTGCCCTTCACCGACGCTTAAACACTGTATACTCAGTGCGTTACCACCCGAGTGGAAGTTGGAAAAATCACTCGGGTTGGACTCGAACCCACGACCTCCCTATTTCTAGTGAAGATGTCTTACCACTCGAGCACCTAGCTAACGGAATCGGTTGGTTGGTTCGAATCTGATGTACATAGCAGCGGGTACCGCATAAACTATTATGAGAAGGAATTTTGCGTCGGGGTGATATCAATCAAATCAGGGTTTTTTTTGCCCTTCACCGACGTTGAAACACTATATACTCAGTGTGTTACCTCTCGAGTGAAAGTTGGAAAAATATCACTCGGGTGGGACTCGAACCCACGACCTCCTGCTTTCTAGTGCAGATGTCTTACCACTCGACCACCGAGTTACCGAGATCGGTTGGCTGGTTCGAATCTGATGTAAATAGCAGCGGGTACCGCTTATATTATCTTATAATAGATTATGCGGTATCCGCTGTGTTGTACATCAGATTCGAACAGCCAACCGATCCCCTTAGCTCGGTGCTCGAGTGATATGACATCGGCACTAGAAAGCAGGAGGTTGTGGGTTCGAGTCCCACCAAGTGATTTTTTTCCAACTTTCACTCGGGAGGTAACACACTGAGTATATATTGTTTTAATGTCGGTGACGGGCAAAAAACCTAATTTGGTTGATATCACCCAAACGAAGTTTAGTTCATTGGCTACCACAGGACAACGAACACATTTTTAAATTAGACTTGATGACAACGAAAACATTTTAAAATTGGACTTCATGAAGAGCATTTTATAGGCCCGCTGTCAATAAATGCAGTGACATGTTGTGACTACAAATAAGGCAGGCTTATGGGTCAATTCTTACCAGTCGATGGTATGCTTGTAGCAGATAACACAAATCTAGATGGCGCTGAACTCCAATAGGACGTGAATCTCAACCAGATCTGATTTGCATGAGAGATCAGATCGGGAGGTTCATTCCACCTGCTGTAGCTGTGCCACTCGAAGAACTGGTTGCTGGATAGGTTGGCACCATCACCCGCCGAAAAGTAGGCGGAGTATTCATCAGCTTCAAAACTGGAGAAGGTGATGTAGATTTTCTGGTTCTCCTCCGCGTGGAGGATCCAAGTCTTGTCGATGTCATCTGAACTATTGCTTGGATAGTTTGGCGAAGATATCTCGAGGGTGTCGCTTGCATTGATGTACAATACAACAGTATCTGTGAAGGAAGGTCGGTTGGTATCAGAGCGGATTAAATAGTTGTTGAAAATGTTTGAGCTTTAAAACGA